TGTGAGAACCACTGGCCAGCGTCCTCCTAGCACTAGCCCCATGCCCGATGTACTTGCTAGATAACGCAACCCTCTTATAGCGGCCGACCAGTGCTGGGGTCGGTGTCTGCCTGTCGCCACAAAGTGAGCCACGATAGTAAGAGGGTATGCAAGATCTGGACGGGTGCAAGTCATCAGGTACATGAGGAAGCCCACCATCTCTGCGTATGGACTACTAGGCTCAAGTGACTCCTCTGGGACTAGAGCCGAGATCCTGTGATCTACAGGCAGGGGTGTAGGCTGTGCGGAGGAGAACTGTAGACCGAACCTCTGAAGGACCGATTGACAGCGTGACACAGAGCCGACTAATGGCACAACTCACGACAATCCGAATGCAACCAGGAGAAAGGTGATGCCCTACATCAATCGCTGCAGAGGCTTACGCGACAAGCTCTTACAAAGCGGAGGGCACTTATCGAAGGGCTCGTTCGTCACGGTCGTTCTTGCTGGACTTGGTCCATAGTGGCGCACGATGCGATCCCTCCTTTGCGCTCACAGGCGGATCTCCGAGATGCATCTGTGCGCGGAGCTCCACACCGAGCAGCAAGACATGGACCTGTACGAAGAATGACACGCAAAGAAACCGAGTCAGCAACTCGCATTCTACACACACAGGCGCAACTACAACAACCAGCACCAACAGAAAAGACACTCAGCTCCGTATTGTCATCAGTGTCGCACAACAGGACACTCGTGCTTCAAGTGCCCAAGGCAGCAGCAGCAGCAGGAGCAGCCGCAGTTCTCGCAGAATGAGCCCCGAGCACCACGTCCGTCGCCGAATCCAGTCACTTCAACTCAGCAGCGCCCTTTAGCTCCGATGAACCACTCTGCACAAGACGCAAGAAATGTCGTCAGCTGCATGGCAAGAACAGATTTCTGCGTACCCGACTACCCCGCCTAAACCCTAAACCCTAAGTGCCAGTCGGACGCGTCAAGGGGGAAACCGAGGAAGACACAAGGGAGGGTGCGGGCAGTGAGCTTGTCCGTGCCAGAGGAAGGAACGTGAGCAAGGCAGCCCCAGACGTGAAACGCAGACGCGTCACCAGGAGACCCGGACCAAAGAAGATCGGCGAAACCTGCGGCTGCTAGGGGTGCGGCCACAGGTTAAGCTGGTGAGCGGCGTAGCGAACAGCGAACGGCCACAGAAAATGGGGTGCACCGGCATGGATCATGGAGGTACGGGCCACCTCCATGACCAAGCCGATGCGTTGCTCAACGAACCCATTCTGCTGCGGGGCGTCCGGCAGGGTGAAGGTCTGGGTGATGCCCTCTGCATGATAGAAACGACCAAGGACACCAGAGGCAAACTCGCCATCACGGTCGGAGTGGAGACGCAAGACCGGGAGACCGTGGTGGACACGCGCAGAGACAAGCCACGGGATAAGAACATCAGGCAGGTCGGCCTTCTGCTCTAGGGGAAACACGGTGGTGTAGCGCGTGTAGTCGTCGACAAGCAATAGGAAGTAGCGCTCTCGACGTGGCCCCAGACGTCCATGTGCAAAGTCTGTAGCGGTGCGGCGGTAGGGGGGAACGAGGAGGAATGAGGGGCACGGCGGAGCCGGCCCTCGACACAGGGCGTGCTCGGTGGTGCTGGAGAGGAGGGCAACTCGGGGAACGACCCTGGGAGACCTAGGACAAGACCGTGCTGGGACATGTGACGCAGACGCGGGAGTGCGGGGTGACCTAGACAGTGGTGCCACAGGATTGTCGGGTGAGTGAGCGACCGACAGGAGCAGGCCGCAGCAACCTGGGTAGACGCAGCCACCTGAAAAGACGTCCCTACGAGGGGGGTCGCGGTGTCCAGTATGAATAGGCCGGACGCCGGGTCCCGGGGGAACGTGGTGAGGGGGGCACCAGTGGCGGTCTCGGTACAGATAGTGTACCGCTCGTGGCCAGGGAGCATAGTGGTGATGCCAAGGTCCTGGAGGCAGCCGACACCAACTAGGTTCCTGGAGAATGAGGGGATGTGCAGGCCTGTAAGTGAGCCTGAAGGAACCGCCGGACAAGGGAAGGGTGGTGGAACTGCGAGCGACTACCGGGCCGGAGGAGGGGTCGGCAAGAGAAACTGCAACAGGAGTAGCAAGAGGCGTCAGTGTAGTAGAGTCACGGAAGAAACACCGAGAAGCGCCAGAGTCGAGGATGAAGGAGAGCGCAGCGGTGGCGTCGGAAGACAGAGCAGCGATAGTAGAACCTAGGCTAAATAGAGCAGGGGATCCTACGCCTGACGCAGTAGGGGAGGCACGACTAGACACGCCTACACTAGGCAACAAGGGGTAGTAAGCAACAGTCACACTAGAGTCATCAGCATACATCACATGCAGGACAGTAACAATCTCATCCATGTCCATATCAAAGATCTGAACACTACGTCGAAGCAAGCTATGCCAGTCGGGGAGGTCGGGCGACGGGCCGAAGCGCTGACGAAACAGGTCGTCCAGGCGACGGAAATAGCGGACAGAGGTGTGACCGATCTTACCGCAAACAAAACCACCCGAGGACCGGTCTGGAGCTGGTACTGACAGATCGCGTCACCTGAACTGCCACCCGGTAGCCCACCACGAGCACGATCACCACGTCCATCACCACCACCAGCGCCTGGCCACCCGGGCGGGAGGCTACTCGCCCGCCTCTGCTGCTGCGGCTGTTGTATCTGCTGAGGCTGGTTCGAGGGCTGCTGCTGCGGCTGGTGCATGTTCGGCTGTGGCACCTGCGGCTACTCGGCTGCACCTGGCAGGATCCCCTCGTCAGCGCTACCACTAGGCGACCCGACTCCACCACCACCTCCACTTGCACCGCCACTCCCACCACCGTGCCCAGCCTTGGGGCAGCGGCCCTTCCCGGAACGGATTTGTGCTGCAGCTGCGGACTCAGCCACAGCAGCAGAACCGTCGAAGAAGGAGCACTGAGCGGGGGCACAACCCTAAAAGATAGGGACCGTCACAGTACCGCTGGTCTGTGCGATAGAGCGCTGGCGGGTCTCTATGGCAGTCAGGGTGTCAACAAAGTCAGTGAGGGTGAGGTCACTAGGGTGGGTGCTAAGGAAGTGGTCGCGGGCAGTAGCAAGACGATCAGGGAGGCGGGTGGCAAGCAGGTAGAGGGCAGAGCAAAGGGGCGGCTGAAAGGCTCTAAGTTGGGTCTCAGTGCAGGCAGCACGCCAGGTCGCGTCTATCGTGCGCAGGTGAGCGGCTAGGTCGGCGACAGTAGGGAAGGACGCAAGGTCAGGGAAGTGCATCGGCAGGATCAGGCGACCTACAGAGGCAGCAGGCGGAGTGGAATAGCGCTTGACGACGGCCTCGAGAAACTCCTACACAGTCGTGACTAACCTAAAGCGTGAGCGCTCAGACAGGGGGAGGGCATGACTGATCGCAAGCTGCGCGACAGCGTTACATGACAGCCAAACTGAGCGGGCAAGGGCAGCAGCTGCGGCGGACTCACGGTCAGTAGACGAGGGGTCAGCGGGCAAGGGAGCAAGCGGGTCAGGGCAGGGGAGCGTACCGTCAAGATGGACCGCCAGGCAGTGGCCGTCCTGCCACTGACCAGTGAGGTGACGCCGGAGGTCGACCAGCCACGTGTCAAACTCGATCGGCTGTCCCTCTGCGTCAAAGCGGAGCACAGAGTCCGCCATCAGGAGCGATGCAGCAGCAGCGCGGTGCTGTGCGGTGCAGAGCGGTGCAGCGCGGGGCAGTGTAGTGCTGTGCGGTGCAGTATGGTGCTATGCGGTGCAGAGCGGTGAAGAGCGGTGTAGAGCGGTGCAGTGCGGTGCTGGTCGGGAAGGACAGGCCTGGCACGAGTCGGGGGTGGGCCGGCGGCGAGACGAACGCGGGGCCGGCGCGGATCGGGCGTGAAGGGGCCGGCTAGGGACGGGCGCGACGGGCGCAGGGTGGCCGGCTAGGAGCGGGCGCGATAGCTCAGAGGGCTGGCTAGGAACGGGCGCGACGGCTCAGGGGGCCGGCTAGGAACAAGCGCGACGGCTTAGGGGGCCGGCTAGGAACAGGCGCGACGGCTCAGGGGGCCGGCTAGGAACAGGCGCGACGGCTCAGGGGGCCGGCTAGGAATAGACGCGACGGCTCAGGGGGCCGGCTAGGAACAGGCGCGACAGCTCAGGGGGGCGGCTAGGAACAGGCGTGACGGCTCAGGGGGGCGGCTAGGAACGGACGCAACGGCTCGGGGGGGACGGGCACGACGGCTCTGGGGGCCGGCTAGGATGGGCGCGACGGCTCAGGGGGGCGGCTAGGAACGGGCGCGACGGTGCAGGGGGCAAGCTAGGACGGGCGCAACTAGCTAGGGGCGGCGCGACGAGGGCCTAAGGTGGAAGCGTGGGCAGCGGGACCTACCTACCAAGTGTGATACCATCTTAAGGTAGAATTGAATGTCGAGAGAAAACAGTACAAGGGTATAAGCCTAAGTGTTGTACCCTCTAAGATATGAACCTATACAGTCTATACAAACATAACCTATATATATGTTTGACAGATTCGCCCTTCGTCAGATTTGAGGCTCGATGGTGCTGGGGGCTGTGTGAGGGGAATTCATGGCCCTGCGCCAAATTTTGGGCCAGATGTGTGCCTTGGAGCCTTGTGAGGGCGACAGTCCTATTGGCCCCTACAATCTCGCCCGCCCAACCAAATTCGTGTCTTTCCCCATAATTTCGCCCTGCACGTGTGAATTCACTATGGAAGAAAGTAACCACAAAGCTTCGAGAATTCAGGAAAGTTTTCGTAAGTAACGCTGTTTGCTCAGGAAAAAAAATCCGGTGAGTCCTGATTCATGGGAATGTTTCTTTGGGCCATCCCTGAAAAATCAGGGAAAAACTCGGGGAATTCTGAGCGATCAGCATGCCTGAAAACCAATCTAGGGGCCTGCTGAATGGCCTCTCATCCCTCTTTTGTAGGCAAAAGAGGGTGAGTAGCACCTCAACACTGTCTTTGCTGCATTGGCCCTGGCTACACTTTCACAAGACACATTTTCTAGAAAGCATCATACGCTTCCAAAAAATTACATATGACATAAGGCATGCAAGCCATGCATGCTGGTTCTATCTGTGAAATAAATCGACTTCCAGTGTTCCGCTCCCGTATCATCCTATGAAAACAAGCTATCGCTCCCTTAGCGGATGTAGCGAATGTCTTGCTACCTGTTATCCTCATTCTGTTCCCCTCCCACTTGCCCATCGCACCTAATTCTCCCACACCCCCACCACCACAATCCCACTTGCTCATCACACACCCACATCCCCGTCAGGCACCCACTTCCCCGTCCTCGAGATCATCATCAGCGTGCGAGCGGTGCGACGACTTCTTTGACTTGCGATGCTTCCTCTCCCGCTCCCTGCTCCTGTGCCCGCTGTCGTCCGACTCACTGTCACTCTCGTGATCCTGCCATGGGGTTGGTTCGGAGAGGATTGGAGCAGCGATGATAAACAGGGAGCGACGGTGAGGAGCGGAGACAGGCAAGAGGGGAAGCAAAGGTCACCACTTGCACGTGGGTGAGGTTGAAAACGGCATGGGAGACAGTGAAGGAGAGCATTGGGTGGGATGGAGACAGAGGGCATTGGGTGGGGTGGAGACAGAGAGCACTGGGTGGGGTGGAGACAGAGAGCACTGGGTGGGGTGGAGACAGAGGGCACTGGGTGGGGTGGAGACAGAGAGCACTGGGTGGGGTGGAGACAGAGGGCACTGGGTGGGGTGGAGACAGAGAGCACTGGGTGGGGTGGAGACAGAGGGCACTGGGTGGGGTGGAGACAGAGAGCACTGGGTGGGGTGGAGACAGAGGGCACTGGGTGGGGTGGAGACAGAGAGCACTGGGTGGGATGGAGACAGAGAGCACTGGGTGGGGTGGAGACAGAGGGCACTGGGTGGGGTGGAGACAGAGAGCACTGGGTGGGGTGGAGACAGAGGGCACTGGGTGGGGTGGAGACAGAGAGCACTGGGTGGGGTGGAGACAGAGGGCACTGGGTGGGGTGGAGACAGAGAGCACTGGGTGGGGTGGAGACAGAGGGCACTGGGTGGGGTGGAGACAGAGGGCATTTCATACCTTGCGGGACGACCTCCGGTGGTCGCTGCTGCCCTTGCTGCGCTTGGACCTGCGCGCCTCCTTCTCATCCTCCTCCTCCTCATCGTCCTCCTCTTCATCGCGGTGCCTCCTCCGGTGCTTCCTCTCCTTCTCCTTCTCCCTTTCCTTCTCGTCCTTCCCCTTCCCCTTCTTCTCCTTCTCCTTATCTTTCTCCTTTTCCTTCCCCTTCCCCTTCTCCTTCTCCTCTTTGTCATCTTTCTCTCGCTTGTCCTTCGACTTACTCCTCTCCTTCTCCTCCCTGTCCCTCTTGTCCCTCTTCTTCCCCCCCCTCTCCCTCTCATCCTCCTCCTCATCCTCCTCACTCTCATCCCTCCTCGACCTCCTCTTGTGCTCCTTCTTCTTATCCTTGGACTTGAATTGCTCCAAGTCCTTCCCTTTCCCGCGCTCCTCCACCTCATCATCAGACCCGTCAGCACTCTTCTTCGCCTGCTTGCTACCCCGGGGCCGGTCCTCCCCTTCCTCAAGCTCCTCTTCCTCTCCCTCACTCTCGTCCGACTCCCCCCTATCCTTCCTCTTTCTCTCACCATCCCGCTTCTTCCTCTCCTCATGCCCGCTCTTCTTATCCTTCTCACTCTCCTTCTCCTCCCTATCCTTCCGTGCCTTCTCAGACCCTTTCTCCTTACCTTCTTTGCTGTCCTCTGTTTCCTTACACTTATCCACCTTCGTTTTCCCCTTATCCTTGCTCCTCCTCTCCTCATTTACCTTCTCTGTGTCACTCTCACTCTCCTCTCCCTTCCTCTCCTTACCCTTCCCCTTATCCTTCTCCTTCTTCTCCTTCTCCTTTTCTTTTTCCTTCTCCCTCTCCTTCTCCTTTTCCTTTTCCTTCTCTTTCTTCTCCTCCTTCTCCTTCCTCTCTTTCTCCTTCCTCTTCTCCTTCTCCTCTTTCTCCTTCTCCTTTTCCTCCTTCTCCTTCCTCTCCTTCTCCTTCTTCTCCTCTTCTTTCTTTGCCTGCAACATCAGACACACAGGCACAGCAGATACATTCCCAAACGCCCAGAAGAAAAGCGTGGGGGTGTGAATTGGGGGAGTAGAGAACACTAAGGCTGGTTGGTAGAAGCTTTCAGTACGGACCTTGAATGCCGGACGGAAAGAGGAACTGACGTTGGCAAGAGATAGAAGGTGATAGGTGTGGTGACAGGCGAGGGAAAAAAAGTGGAGATGAGTGGAGAGGAGGGAGAAGGACACGGAACACAAGACAGGTCGATAGGGCAGCAAAAAGTCAATGGGAAAGGGGGTGCAAACCAGTGCATAGTCATAACAAGCCAAGAAGCACGAAATCACCTTCTCTTCCTTCTTCTTCCTCTCCTTCTCCTTCTCCTTCTCCTTCTCCCTCTCCTTCTTCTTCTCCTTATGCAGCAGCCGAGCCACGTGCTCCTCCACCACTTTCCGCCTCTCCGCCTCCTCCAATATTGCCCTGAGCGGATAACAGACACACAATGAGCGCCATGCACACACACACAAAAAGAGAGCCAGTGAACAGCGGCACAAAACAGCAGCTGCGCCACATGCTCCTCCTCCAATTTTTGCCGCTCTGCCTCCTTGGGTAACGCTTGGAGGGGATTTTTGAGGCGCCTCAAAGCTCGGAGGGGATTTTTTAGGCGACACAGACAGCAACACAGACAGCAACACGACACTGAAGGATACTGGGTTGCATACCACCAAGGTGGGGTGATGAGGAATCAAGAAACAGGAACCAGGAAACAGGAAACAGGAACCAGGAACCAGGAAACAGGAACCAGGAAACAGGAAACAGGAAGAGAGCAAGGAGAGAGAAAAGCGCTAGGGGAGCAAGAAGAGAAAAAGAATCGCAGCACACAGCAGCACACAGCAGCACTGCTACTGGGGGACACAAGCCGGCCAGAGGTTCAGGTAACACTGCAGTGCTCCCGCTGCAGGTAACCTGAACCTCTGGTGCACGCACAGCCTGACAACTCACTTGTATTCCGGCAGCGACTGCACGCGCGGCTTAGCATCCTCCCACGAGGTGGTGCCCGTGATGCCCGTGATGCCCTTGATGCCCCTGATGCCCGTGATGCCCTTGATGCCCGTGATGCCCTTGATGCCCGTGATGCCCTTGATGCCCCTGATGCCCGTGATGCCCTTGATGCCCGTGATGCCCTTGATGCCCCTGATGCCCCTGATGCCCTTGATGCCCTTGATGCCCTTGATGCCCTTGATGCCCGTGGTGCCCCTGATGCCCCTGATGCCCCTGATGCCCCTGATGCCCGTGATGCCCGTGAGAGCGTCTGTCAGGTCCTCTGTCAACCGCTTCTTCCTCCTCGTCTCCTTCTCCTCCCTCTCCTCACCGCATCCATCAAACCTTTCACTCCTCCTACAACCAAGGAGTACTCACTTGTATTCTGGCAGCGACTGCACGAGCGGCTTGGCATCCTCCCACTTGGTGCTCCCCGTGATGCCCTTGATGCTCCTCATAGCATCCGTTAGGTCCTCCGCCAGCCGCTTCTTGCGCCTCGCCTCCTTCTCCTCCCTCTCCACCGCCCGCTCTACCAGATCCTCCCATACTATCTGGTTACCACATGGTGGTTACCAGAACGTTCGATAACATAGTGTTTGTTACCGAATGTTCACGTTTTGTTTCATGGTTTGTTTCATGGTTTGTTTCCCCCCAGTGGTTGTGGTTCAAGACGTGGAAGAAAGGGCATGGGTTCACGGAATCATGATGTGATGTGAGATGCGTTGATGACGCTCCCCAATGTATGAAATTCAATGATTGATCGCGACAATGCACGCATGCATGCGGACACACATGCAGACACATGCGGCATGTGTCCATGCCAGGTTATGGGACCCAACGCACACACCAGCACACACCAGCACACACCAGCACACACCAGCACACAAGCATACAGGCATCCCACAGCAAGTGAACCCAACAGCACGTGCATCCAATCACACCACACAAGATCAACAAAAGGTCACACCACAACAACGGGAAGCAGCCGGCCCACCGCCACCATGGTCCAACGCACCTAGCAACACCACACACCACACAGCACGCAGCACACAGCACCGGGGGGAAGGGGGAGGGGGGAGGAAGGGAAGAAGCAGGAGGGGAGAAGATGAGTGGGTGCAGAGCATGGGGATAGCGATGGTATGTGCTTGAGTGGCCTGTGTGTTGATGGGCACGATAAGTGGATGCTCACATGGATGAGAGCGCCGCACGAGCACTGAAACAGAAGAATAGAACCAAATGATTTGAGGTTTGTGCGTTCACACAGCGGGTTGGAGGGAGCGAGGGGAGAGGGGGTGGGTGGTAAGGCGCCAGAAACGGAAGGAAGGAAAAAAGGGCAGGCGGAAGAGACATGGGGTAGGTTAAAAGAGGAATGATGAATGGAAACAAGCCACTAGTGCCAGGTTGCTCTCTCATGAGAAAACACTGTGTGTGCCCCTCACAGTACCTTGCGTTACTCCTTTACCTGCTGGTTACCCCATGCAGCGATTGCCACTCGTAGAAGGCTGTTGGCGTCGACCCGGGTTGCTCAGCATAAAGACAAACGATGCCCACCAGGAGTCATCAATGCGGGCTCTCGTTGTGTGGCAAAGTGACAGTCTTATATAGTGCCTTATAAGGCAGTGTGAAGGTCAGCTCATGACACATAGACAAGTCCATACCATGGCAAGCATGCAGTGCATGCATGCCATAACAGGTGATCCGGTATATGAGCCATGAGCCACGTGCTACCACGGCCACATGGTGCACTGTGCGTGCGGCATGGTGCGCGTGGCATGTTTTGGTGCTGCAGGATGTGACTGCATGAGCAGGGCGGGACGGAGCAAGAGGTGCTGGGGTGGTGTAGAGAGTGGGGTGCGTTGGGGGGCGAAGGGTTTGAGGAGGTGTGTGAGGGGACTGCACCTTGAGGCTCATATCCGCGACCTTAGGAGTCGACTCATCAGCTTTCGGTGGCAGCGGTGGCGGAGGCGGCAGCTTCAAGCCCTCGCCGTCCTTCACGTCCTTCGCCTCCTCTTGCTCCTCTTGCTTCACGTCCTTCGTGCCCTCCTCCCCCTCTTGCTTCACCGCGCCCGTAGCAGCCGCCTCTTCACCCCCCTTGCCGTCCTCCCCAGGCTCCTCCTTCGCTCCCTCCTCCTCGCCCACTTCTTTCTTCACACCCCCCTCCTCCTTCGCTCCGTTCATCTCCACATCCTCCGCCTTCACCTCCTTCCCCTCCTCCTTCACTGCTGTGCCACCATCGGCAGCGGCAGCATCGGCAGCAGCAGGGGCAGCCGGCGCAGGGGGCGGAGGTGGGGGAGGGGCGTAGCCCAGAGCAGCTTTGAAGGCCTCGAAGGTGGTGGATGACGTCACCACCACCTGAGGGGAGAGGCGAGAGCAGGGGGAAAGAGGGGAAGGACTGGCGTGGGTGGGAAGGGGAGACAAGTGGGAAGGTGGGTTGGGGGGGGCGGGGGGGGAGCAGGGACGAGGGGCGAACACATGGCATGTACAGGTACGTTGTGGGAGACATGATTGCGATAGGGAGTTAGAAGGTGGTTCGGGAATTGTGTAACGGAAAGATGAGTGTTGAGGGAGAGATGGCGTGGTAGAGGGTAGCAGAAATGTTGCTCAGGTGTCATTAGACTGCACTCCCTGCACTGCTCGCACTCCCCGCACTGCTCGCACTCCGTGCACTGCTCGCACTCCCCACACTGCTCGCACTCCCCGCACTGCTGACCTTGTTCTTCTTGACGAGGTCCTTGATCTTGTCCTTGTCCTCCTTGTACTGCTCATCGCCACGCAACCATGGCACAGCACACACGACTCAGCAGACGTTAGACGCTCACAGGAAACACCGAGGAGAGAGAGCACGGGCAGGCGCAGGAAGGCAGGCAGAAAGGGCAGTGCCAATTAGTCAGGGCCGGACATGGGAGATGATTCATTGGCTCAACAGGCGACCTTGGCTGCTAGCGCCCCAACACGTAGCAAGCAGCATGACCTTATTAGGTAGGACCACATCCGCCACCCCGCACTCCACCCATATCCCCGAGGTGACTTCTGAGTCGACTCAAAAGTATCCCCGCCCTCGTCCGCTTATCCAGGCAACGTCCTCCCCCACATTCCCCGCCTGCTTGTCGAGGTCACCAATCCCAGCCTCGCGTCGATTGGGACGTCTCAAAGCTCATATCACCTCCTCAGACAGCTCCATGGGCCTCGACGCCACCCCAGGTTGTATCAACAAGTGCCTTCAGCAGTTGCCACCTGCCCCAGTATCCACCAACCCCAGTGTCCACCAACCCCAGCACCCCAGTTGAATTGCCGCATGCCCCAGTACTGACCCACCCACCCCAGCACCCACCTGCTTGTCGAGGTCATCGATCACATCCTCAAACAGCTCCTTGGGCGTCGACCCTCCCAGGTTCGCCGCCACTGCCATGTAGGCGGGCTCGTCCTTCACCTGGCGCAGACAGAATCAAGGGGCAGAAAAATTGGTGAGTCTGCAGTGGTGAGAGAGCAGCTCCGACCCCCCCAGGTTGGCTGGCACGGGCAGATAGGCTGGCTCGTCCTTCAGCTGGAGCAAAGAGAAAGAGAAGGGGCGGAAGGGGAGAAGAGAGAGGATGTGGAGGATGCAGAGGTGAGTGAGAAGCTCCGATCCCCTCAGGTTGGCTGCCACTGCTAGATGGGCGGGCTCGTCCTCCCCGATGGATGGAGAGAGATGAAGGGAGGGGGCAGAGAGGATAGGTAGAACGAGAGGAAGTGAGGGTGGAGGGGAGGTTCCATGCTGGGGGGAAGAGGGGAGGGGAGGTGGGGGGAAAGGGGGAGTGGGGAGGGGACCCCTCCAGGCCCCAGGTTGGATGCGGCTACCAGATAGGTGGGCTCCGCATCAGCAGGTGCACACACGGGAAGAGGCGGCAAGTGCACATACGGGAAGAGGCGGCAAGTGCACATACGGGAAGAGGAAGCAAAACGGAGAGGGGAGGGGGAGGGAAGAGAGGCATTCAAGGGATGTGGGGTGAGCGCGGCACTCGTTGCACATACCACGTTGACATAATCGCGCCAGCGCGTGCGCGCGGTGAGCGTGAGCGCCGCCTTGTGCTCGTCCATGAGGCGGCGGAAGGCGTCGCGGTTCTTGCGCTCCTGCCGCCGCTGTTGCTCCTGCCAGCACCAACACGAGTGGAGGTGGAGGGCGGACATGGAAGGATGAGGGTGTGGGAGGAGGGGTGGAGCCAGCCAGGGCTCCAGGTGGCGCCAGGTAATTGCAATCGTGACTATGAATGTGCGGCCAGAAAGGACCAACTGAAAGACTAAAAGACTGAAAGACTGAAAGACTGAAAGACTGCAAGACTGCAAGACTGCAAGACTGCAAGACTGAAAGACTGAAAGACGAGTGGCAGACGCACCCGCTTCTGCTGCCTCTCCTCCTCCTCCCTCCTCTCCAGCTCGCGAATGAAATCCTGCACTCAGCAACGAGAGAGTGGTGGAAAACCGTAGGCGAGAAAGAATGCACTCAAACAGAAATGAGAACAGACACAGAAGAGACGAATGGTGGACCAGCAGAGCAAGGGTGGCAAGGAGCAGATGGGAGACGTGAGGAGAGGAGCCCACCTGGAAGACCTCGAGGCGGTCGATCTTATCGAGCTTGGCGCAGCTCTCGTGCTCCTCCAGGCGGTCCTGCACCTTGCGGTAGTGCGTCGCTGACTGCACACAAGAGAGGGGGGGGGGGGGGGGGGGGTTGTTGGGGTAAGGGCTGGTAAGATCGAGGGGCAACGAGGGTTTATCCCACCTCCTGCTCTCGTCATCCTCCTCCAGGCGGTCCTGCACCTTGCGGTAGTGGTAAGATAAGACGACGGGAGAGTGGTTATAAAGCAGCAGCAAGCGAGCAGCGGAGGGACACAGAGGAGAAGAGGCTAGAGGACGCTCACACACAATGCAGGCGCCACGGCACCCACCGTGACATAGCCGCACGTCTCAAGGTACTGCTTGAAGTCTGCCATGTTGCGCTTCCTCTCCTCCCGCACACGGTCCTTCTCCTGCCACATAGCAATAGGGGGAGAGAGGGGCGTGCATGTAAGGAAGGGGGGAAGGGGGGGGGGGGGGAGGGGGTCAACATAGCCGCATCTCTTAGTACTGCTTAAAATCTGCCATGTTGCATTTCCGCTCCTCCCCCACTCAGTCCTTCTCCTGCCAGGCAGGCATGGCAAGGACGGCATGGGGGAGTAAGGGCAATGTCAATGTGGTGTAGAGTAGTGGAAAGTGGTGGAGAGTAGTGGAGTTTGTGACGATGGGGGAGGACAACAGGAGCACGAGATGGGCATCACAAGTCCCTCAGGAGTCAACATGAAAGAGTCACCTAGAGTCAACGGGCCAAGGCATCCTCTTGACGAGGTCAATAGAAGCCAATGCAAATCAACAGCACCACGCACCTTCTTGACGAGGTCAACGAGGTAGTCGTCGAACAGCTCCTCCCTCTCCCTGTCCGATTCCACCGCCACGAACCGCAGGTCCTTGTCAAACAGCGGAGCCGCCTTCCTGAGCGGGGTGGAAGAGGGGGGTTGGGGTTGGTGGTGGGAGAGCGGGGAGTGGCCGTATGAGGAACCGCGCTGAAAGCTCCTCCCTCCCCCTGTCGGACTCCACCGCCACGAACCGCAGGTCCGTGTCAAACATAGGGGCCGCCTTCTGAGAGGGGTGGAAGAGGAAAAGAGGGTGGGTGAGGGGGTGGATGAATGGAAGCAGGATGAGAGACGGGCGTATGGTGTGTTGTAAGCCAACGACAGAGGCAGCTATCCTCCCTCCCTCTCCCTGCCGGACTCCACCGCCACAAACCACAGGTCCTTGTCAAACAGAGCGGCTGCCTTCCTGGGAGAGGAAGGGCGAAGAGGAGAGGAGGAGTGGCACTGGGGGTGGTAGCAGGAAAGGGAGGATGAGCAGTAGGCACAGAAAGCGTTATTGGTCGACTATATGGATATGGCTCCTCCCTCCCTCTCCCCACTACCACCGACCGCAGAGGCCATGTCAAAAAAGGGAGCCGCCCTTTTGGAAGTTACGGGAAGTGGGGAGAGACGAGGGGAAAAGGGAATTGAAGCGGCAGAGGTAAGGGCAGGAGCAACCGAGATAGCTTGGAAGAGAACGCGGTGAGAGTGGCATGGGAGGAGCATCTGTTTGAAAGTTCCCCAAAGTGAAGTGAGGAAATACCTACTGCCAACGAAGAACTCAATTAATGAAAGACAGTCAGTGAGTCAGTGAGTCAGTGAGTCAGTGAGTCAGTGAGTCAGTGAGTCAGTGAGTCAGTGAGTCAGTGAGCACCTGTTGCAAGCACATCAAGACTCTACTCACTGCCAGCGCACTGCCCTATAGCAAGACTCACTGCCAGCGCATGGCGGACGAGAGCTCCTTGCTTTCGTCCAGCATCTTGATGAAGTCCTCACGGACCTTCTTCTGCTTCAGCCGCTTCTCCTCCGCCTCCTGCTTCTTGCGCTGTGTGATGTACTGTGGGGTAGGGACGGGAGAAGCGGGCGAGGGGGGGGGAGGGGAGATTGGGTACAAGGAAAGAGTGGAGAGTGCAAAGGAGAAAGGAAGGGTGGCGAGTGTGTGGTGTGCAGTAGGAGGAGTATGCAGTGAGAGGGGCAGCAGGGAGCAGCACTGAGCGGAAGTAGGCGAGGGTTAGGATGCATGGAGAAGAAGAGCAGGGGGAGAGGAGATTGCGAGGTGCGTACCTCGTTGAACGCCTGCTTCCTCTCCCCCAGCGTCTTCAGTGCGCCATACCGCTTGTCGCTGATGATCTTGCGCATCGTCTGCTCCCACGCCCACTCCGACGTCACCCCCACCGCCTCCAGGAGCTCCTTAAACGCCGCCTTGGCCTCCTGGGGGGGGTTAGGAGAGGAGAAGAGGGAGGGAGAATGAGGAAGTGGCCTCCTGTGGGGAGAGAGGGAGTGAGGGACAGTAAGGGAGATGCGAGCGAGAGGGAGTGAGGGACAGAGGGGATGAGATACAAAGGGCTGCTTTCATTGCTCCCACGCCCACTCCGACATCACCCCCACCGCCTCCACCAGCTCCTTGAACGCCGCATTGGCCTCCTGTAAGGACACGGAGAAGAGCCACGAGAATGGAAGCGAGAGACAGATAAGATGCCAGCGCGAGCGAGAGTGAGAGACGAAGAGAACGAAAAAGGGGATGGGAGGACCTTGCGTGCCTCTAACAGCTTCCTGAATGGCAAATCTCACCCAGTGCTTCTTGCACACACTCAGTATCCCTTGGCCCCCAGCTGTTCGATATGCCATGTGTCCCTTGGATACTGCGTGCCCCTTGCTCGCGCTCTCAACTGACCTGCTTGGTGGCGTACACGGGCTCGCCCACAGGGGCAGGAGGGGGCTTGGGCTCCGTGATGGGCGTGATGTTGATCTTGCTCGCTGCCGGGGCCGCCTTGGACTGAAGGGGAGGGGGGGGAGGGGAAGGGGGTGGGGGGTGGGGAGAGGAAGGGGGTGGGGGTTGGGGAGGGGAGACCCAGGACACAAAGGAAGGAGAGGGCAGGGTGAGCCGAAGGTAGGCGCTGTTGAGCGACAGACAGAGCTCGCGTGGCGACGCCGTAGTGCTTTGCGGGGCTCACAAGCCAGTGATGAAGGCAGGGTGGAGCGCATACAGCACATGCCACCCCATCACAACCCCTGGTTTGGAAATTGCAAATTTGCACCATACCATACGCCTTTAAACCGCCCCACACACCTCCGCAGCAGTCTCAGTGGATTGTGCGTGCGCCTGCGCGCCAGCAGCAGCAGCCGCAGGGAGGGGCCTGCGGATAAATGAGAAAGAGAGCGCGAGGCAGACAAGAAACGGGCAGGTTTGAGGAGGTAACATGCAGAAAGCGAATGCTTGCTCTTGGGAAACAAGGGCACAGAATGCAGCAATAGGAGAATATTCAGGTAGTAGCACTCACGGGGTAAAGTTAGGGTTTCGGGTTGGGAGTACTCACGGGGTGGAAGCGGCAGCAGCAGCAGCAGCAGTAGCAGCAGGCAGAGGAACACCAGCAGAAGCAGCCACCGGCATTGTCCCTGGAGTGAAAGGCACCACCCCTGGCAGAGGGGGGGTGTATGAGAAAGCAGCAGCAGGAGCGACAGCCCCTGCCACCAGCCCTGGCGCGGCAGTCATGGGAGGGGGTACCCCAGGCAGGGGCGGGCCCCCTCCTGCCACCGCTGCTGGCACTGCTGCTGCCCCGGGCGCAGCTGGCATTACTGGCGCTGCTCCTGGAGTTGCTGCAGCGGGCACTGCCGCTGCAGGAACGGCAGCAGAAGGAGGCGCAGCTGCGCCTGCTGCGGCTGCTTGCTCTGCTGCAACCCTCTCGCGCGCCGCCTGCAGGGAGGGGGAAAGGGAGGGATGAGGTGTAGGCAGAGGCAGTGGAAGGCTTCCAGTACGGAGTGGCAGGTCACGGGGATCGCGGCTGGAAGCAGGACTGGTCCAGCGGGGACGGCACTTGTGCTCACGTTGACGCGCGGTGCTCACCAGGAGGTGCGGCGCTCACATTGAGTTGCCTGCCAGGAGCGCACCTTGAGTTCAGCAGAGGTGGTCCAGGTGCGCTGCTTGGTGAGCTTGTTGTTGAAGAAGTACTTGCGCCCCTCCGCTGTCGTGAACTGAGAAGTCCTTCCACGAGCAACTCAACACGTACAGCAACGCGTCCCACACAAGTGCTGCAGCTACGAGCTGAGAGCAGTGCTTGCGAGTGGGCACAAATCACTCACCTTGAGTTCGGCGGGGATGGTCCACGTGCTCTGCTTGGTGTGCTTGTTGAAGAAGTACTTGCGCCCCTCCGCTGTCGTGAACTCCTTCCACACCGTGGTCGCATCCGCGCGCTGCACAAGTGGCGAGGGGGGAGGCCGGATGAGGGAAACAACCACAGAGAGCAAGGCTATGACTATGAGAAGGCGCATGCCACACAGCCGCTTCTCCCAGCACTAGCTGGTGCAGTGCACGCAGCAAGCAGGGAGGGCGAAAGGAAAGAGTGCTGCTACTAGCGTCTCCAGAGGCTGAGACGAGCAAACTCATGCTCTGGAATGACCTCTTCCTTGGCGGTCAGTGCTTGCCAATTATTGCGCCGATTCAGAGAGATCATCGCCCCACGCGCCACCCCGCCTCACCTCGCTGGGCGTCATGAGGTCGGTCGGCTTCTCCCAGCTGGACTGCTGCGTGCGCTTGTTGAAGAAGTACTTGCGCCCCTGCGGCGTCGTGTACTCCTGCCACTCCGCCGCTGCCGCAGATGCTGCTGCTCCTGCTGCTGCTGGCGCGGCAGCCGCGCCTCCCCCAGGTGCAGCCTGGGTGCCAGCAGGTGCAGGTGCTGCGGCAGCAGGGGGTGGCATTTGGGGGAGGGGTACCTGTGGTGGAAGAGGGGTGGGAGCCGGGGGATGGTGCGGAGTCAGGGAAAGGAACGAAGAAAGGTGATGGATTGGCTGTTCACTCACCCTCTCAGTGGCTTAAGAGGTAACAGTTACGGTAGGATGAAAGTTGTTTGTTGTGATATGTAAACTGTTCTTGTTGCTACCACCCAGTCGCACTCACCCCTCCGGCGGTTGTAGCGGGCGCGCCAGCAGCTGCGCCTGCCCCAGGTGCGCCCTGCCCCGGCGCCCCTCCAGCGCCAGGGCCTGCCTGTGCGCCCCCCGGCGCAGGGGCGCCTGGCACCTGCCACTGCGGGTGCTGCTGGGGCGGGTGCTGCTGGGGTGGGTAGGATCCAGGCGCCGGCATGTGACCGGGCATGGGGGGGTAGGAAGGGTACGCCTGCTGCTGCGGCGGCGGCTGGCCAGGGTATTGTGGCGGCTGGCCAGGGGCCCCCGGGTACTGCTGGTGGGGCTGGTGCTGCCCTGGGTATTGTGGGGCCTGGCCGTGCGCGCCGTAGGGAGGGAGGTGGCCGGGGGGGGCATTGGGGGGGAGCGGAGGGAAGGGGCGCGGCGGAGGGGCGCCTGGGTAGGGCGGGCGGAACTGCTGCTGGGGAGAGGCGTAGTGCGCCTGTGAGGGGGAAGGTGGGCGGCGACGAGACAGAGAGTGGGGTATGGTGGTGAGGGCGATCATGAAACGAGTAGACTCAAACGCAAGAAAGAAGCACGTGAAAAACGGAGGTAAGAGAGAGCGACGGGGAAAGGGAGGGATTGAGGGAGAGCGGGAGGAAGGGGTTCAAAGGGATGCGAGAGGAGCAGTAATGGAGGCAGGGAGAGAAGAACGGTTTGTACCCTGAGGAGAAATAGAGGCAGGGGGGGGAGAGAGTGTGAGTGAGAGGACCAGCGGACCTGAGGGGGAGCACCAGGGGGCAGCGGGGGGCCCCCAGGGCGCGCGCCATAGGGAGCACCGGGGGGAGCAGGCCCGCCTGGCCCGGTCGGTGCTGCTGTCGTTCCCGGCGCTCCCGGTGCGCCAGGCGGCCCCTGCGCCTGCTGCTGCTGTGGCGGCTGCTGGCCCGGAGGCGCTTGGCCCGGCGGCTGCTGGGGCTGGGTCTGCGGCTGCAGGGCAGGCGCTGCTACCCCAGGCGCCCCCGGCGCGCCTCCTGGTGCTCCCGGTACTGCCCCTGGTGCGCCCGGTGCTCTCGGTGCTCCTGGTGCTCCTGGCGGCAGGTACTGCGGTGAAAAGGAGGGAGCGAGATGAGACGAACGAATGACGACGTGGTATGAGGCGCGTGCACGAGTGAGAGTTCACGGCGGCGACCAAGAGCAGGAGAGAGGGCAAGCAGCACACGGCCAGCAGCAGAGCCGCCAGAGAGGCACGGAGAGGGGCTCACCTGTCCGCGGCCTGCTGGCCCGGGCAGCAAACCTCCGGCGGGGGAAGGCTGCGGGGGACCGCCTACAGGCGGAGCGCCGATAGGCCCCCCGCGACCGGCCGCGTGCATAAGAGGCGCCCCGCGACCCATCTGGAGCGAGGGGGGAAAGGTCGGAACGAGGGGTTTGAGAATCGCGGGGGCAGGACAGCGCAATGTCGTCCTCTGAAATGCGTGTGTGAGGGAGGAGATAGGCAACTGTGCGGCGGCTCACAACGACAACACTCAAATAGGAAAATCCCGAACAACAGCCAAGATCCCGAAGTTGGGCTTGTTTTGAGGCGCCTCAAAACTAAATTGGGGAGACACGACCGCGTGTGACCATGACAGCACGCAGATCCACAGCCGAACGAAAAATGTTGATGCCATAACAGATGGTCGAAGGAAAAACCGAACGATTGCAACGAATGGCCTCGTAACGATGTTCAGGAAAATCGAATCTGGGCGGAACTCGAGGTGTCCAGTACTCAATGTGGGTGCGTGTCTTTGTGAGCTCTCTGGGTTCTCACAAGAGCGGGCGATTTCGAGTCATCGCGAGCAGCAGCGGGAGCAGGGGGGGACGGAGACGGCGCGCTGCCTCCGGGAGGCGCGGCGGTCGCTGCAGCTCCACCAGGAGCCGCGCCGGCGGCCGGCGCTCCCACCGGCGGCATAGACTGGCCGCCTGGAACTTAGCGGGGAATAGGAGGAGAGAGCAGGAAGATAGGATGTGAGTAGCGTGAGACACGGGGGAGAATGTGGAGATCGGAAAGGATGGCGAAAGGGAGAGGGAAAGACGAATGGTAAAAACATCATTCATTCAAGCATGTTTCGTTCCACGAAAGTTCAAGGGAAACAATGTATGTAAAAACGACGAAGTCGGCGGAGAACCGAAACGGCTCGAACGAAAGAGCGCACCGGTCATCCAAGCAGGAAGAGTCATTCCGCGGCCGCGCCCAGATCCCGGTACAGGAGGGACGCCGGCCATGGCGGCTGCTGTGAAGGTATGGCTTGTGAGGACGCGGTACTAACGGAGACCGTTCTAGTAATAGGCGAAACCCTACTGGCACTGGACGGGCCCACTTGACGGCTCGAGAAATGAAATGGCACGGGTTCACACGGCCAAGTCATCTCGTCTTGCAAACCCGTTATGTGCATTCTTCGTAAAGCGTATGCACTGACTGCAGTGCAGCACACTTGGTTCTGAATACCGGAAGTTTAGGATACTTAGGGCTGATATATTCTCCCTAACTACTTAGTCCAACTAATGACAGGTATGGAAATGGTGTTCAACTAGATTGCGGCTTCATTTTACTCGAAATATAGAAAACAGAAGGGTGCTATAACGACTCCATTACATTTTGGGAGCTTTAGGGCGTGTAACATTTTCTCAAGCATCTTCCGAACCTAACATTTGAAATAAATCGTCTGGTGTTGTGCAGGAGACTAAGTATAGAATCTGCTAACACGAGTACTTAACCAAGGATCTTTGCTGGAATGGTAGACTAGTAAGACAGCGGAAGTCTTATCAGAGTGAACCTGAGCACATGAACTTGTGGGTAGTCGAAGGTTGAATAACCTGAGCACATAATTCTGTGGAAAGTCAAGGTTAATAATAGAAAGGCATTACAAGGATTTATAGCTCTAGGGAAAGTACCTGTTCGCTAATGTATCTGTTCATCACTATCGCGCTATGCGACCTATTCGTCATTCTATAGGGCCGCGACTGTTCGCGTGACTGAAGCGGTTCGTTACGCCTAATCGCGTAACTGAAGCGGTATGCTGACGTCATCACTCGGACCTGTTTCCTTACTGAGAAACGCGATACTGCGCGCTACACCAAAAACAGAACTTGCAGGAATGCAAAACTTCAATTATCACAACACTCCCCTTCATTCCTGGAAGTTCGATGTAGTCACGTCGTTTTGTTGGAGTCCGGCGAATGAAATCTGCAATTTGGAATCTTGTGACGTGTAAACTTGATGTGCTGTAAGTAGTCGGCGGTCATTCCATTTGTCAAATGGTAGACCAATCGCGTTCTTCCCTTGTTGATGACGAATTTTGGCTTTGACGAAGTGCGTGTAGATCCTCCTTCCCCCCCTCACTTCGGCAGAGTAAAAATGAGTCGGGTTGAAAGTGGTTGGGGTTGCGCCAGTGAACGTGGCAAGGCCAAAGGGGACGAATGCAAAACCACGAGAGTGTTGCACGTAGTGGAGAGGAGCCTCGACAACATCCGGAGGCTTGACAGAGAATCGTGAAGTGACGGGCAGATCTGATGGTGCAGTTTCGGGCAGAGAAATTCGTTGAGTCAGCAGTGCACGCAGCTGCTCACGTAGCTCGTGTAGGGCACTGTTCAACCCTTCTGCTCCGTTGCTTTCTTGAACGCGATAACGAGGGGTTGGGTAGCAGTTGATGCCCAAGCCTTGCTCGTAGTCGTTGGAACTCGTAGTGTGGTAATCTACTTCTCTGTAGGATAGGAGAGTCTGCAGCGGGGTACTGAGCTCGCTTGCTGCTATGGCCAGCCAAGCAAGAATCAAGACGGTGAAATATGAAGGAAGTAAAAGCCTTGATAGTGCATAACCTTTCTCCGATAGAGTGGTAGTTGAAGATGTTTCTGCAGGCTTGTCGAGATTGGTTGTTGAAGAATTGTCAGAAGGCTTGTCGAGAGGAGTTGTAGCGTCGAAGAAATTTTCAGGAGCGATTTGCAGTGTTTCCTCGTGTTCTTGACTAATATCTTCCTTGATATTAACGGCAGGTGTGTCGGCAAGGATGTCGTTGGTGCTGCTACTCGGATTTTCTTCTTCGATGCTGCTGAAGTCCATCGGTGGAGTGGTTACCAAAGCTACTGCTGCGATGATTGAAGGAGCTTGAAGAGGAGCGGCATCTTCAGAAGGTTTTGCTGCCTTGAAGCGTAAGACGAATACGCCATTCTTTGTTGCTGCTCTTCCGATATACGTGTTGTCCACGTCATGTATTAACTCTTGCTCTTGTGTCGTGCAGTTTCCGACCGTGCGGATTTTCTTCTTCAAGAGTTGAAGAGTTGACACTAAATTGAAGCCAAGATTGTCGACGAGTAAAACGCTGGTAACGCATAAAGACTTTCCCGTATCGGTTGATGTCAAAAGTAGACTGCCGATATTTTCGGCTGAAATTGTTTGACCGTTGGCGAGTGTGATTGGGCAGGGTTGAAGAATTCGACGACGGTTGTAGATGAAAGGATTTGTTGAAGAGACCATATGATGGCCACAACAACTATCCAAGTACCAAGTATCGGAATCTGTACTGCAATTGACCATGTGAGTGGATGAAGTAGGTAAACGAAAATTTGAAGTTACAGTATTAGTGGCAGAGTTTGAATTATTTGCTGTCGGCTTTGATGAGTTGCTTGGAGAGGCAGAACTGAGTGTCGTTGGTGGTGTTGATATTGCAGATGCTGATTTTGGAGGCGTAGGCTGCTGCAAAAACTGCTTCGAAGGCTGTCGTCGTTGCTGTGAGGATTGCGACCTCTGCGTTTCTTTATGAGGTAAATACCTCTTGTTAAAGTAGCATCGATCGGTAGAATGTCCTCCCTTGTTGCAGAGTTGACAGAAGAATCGAGGACGTCGAGTTGGTGTTGAATAGAAACTGAGCTGTATATCCCCACTTTTGTTGCGTTGTGACTGCAGGTCAAGATCTTGTTGTTCCGCTTGAAGATATGAAGAAATCTCAGCTTCGGAGAGGTTCTGATTCATGCGCAGGAAGGCGCGCGTCTGTCGCCATTCGGGTCCAAGTCCAGCAAGAAGGACCGTGAGATACATCTCACGAGGGAAGTATCCTCCGCTCTTTTCCAGTTGATCGCGTAGTGTACGGACTCGGTTAACGTAGTCCATGGCGTTTTCGTTTGTCATCATCTGCACACTTGTCAGCTGCGAAAGGATTTTACTCACTGTTATCGTATCCCGCGCCATAAACACCCCTTTTAAGTGTCTCCATGCAGTTTCGGCTGGTGTGAAACTTGAGTGAAAAGATCGAACGCCGAGCTGCTCCTTCGGCGACAAGTTCCGTACAAGAACTGTATATGCCCCGAGAGAGGCATGTAAAAAACTCTGCTGTTCCAGTTGTGTTCCCGTAACAGGATAGGTGAATTCGCCGGTGAAGAACGGCCAAAGCCCGGCGGACTGCGCCAGAAGTTCGAACTCGAAGCTCCAGGAGTAAAAATCAACACCATTGAAAGGTACGGTTGTCTTGATCTGAGTATTGTTAAGTAAATTTGGAGGCTGAAATACAATGCCTGGCTGTTGCTGTTGTTGCTGTTGCTGTTGTTGCTGTTGCTGCTGTTGCTGTTGTTGCTGTTGCTGTTGCTGTTGATGTTGCTGTTGCTGTTGCTGTACTTGTTGATGTTGCTGTTGCTGTACTTGCTGTGGTTGCTGAGCAGGAGAACGACCGAAGATATAAAAAGGATGCTGAAATTGCTGCGACTGCGGCTGCTGTACGAAAGGTGAGAAAGCGAAAGAACCAGTACTTGGAGCTGTAGCTCCACGCATGTAGCTTGAGCCGTCTAGGCTCATCCCACTAAACGCAGACGAAATCGATTGTGTTGAAACTGGCGGCTGGACTGACGCTTGTTGCTGTGCTGTTGTCTGTGATTGCTGCTGTTGTGTTGCAGGTGCAGTCGATGGAGCACCTGGAGTATTCACAGAAGGCGGATTCTGCATACCGATATTAGCGTAGGCTGGTGGAAAATGCCCAGAAGCTGAGAGACCAGCGGCGGTAGTGGAGGAATGTGCTCCAGTAGTCCCAGTAACTGATCCAGCGGATGGTGCTGGTGTTGGACCAGTCATAGTTGACGGTAGTCTTAATTCCAACCTCGCTCTGATACCATGAAATAAATCGTCTGGTGTTGTGCAGGAGACTAAGTATAGAATCTGCTAACACGAGTACTTAACCAAGGATCTTTGCTGGAATGGTAGACTAGTAAGACAGCGGAAGTCTTATCAGAGTGAACCTGAGCACATGAACTTGTGGGTAGTCGAAGGTTGAATAACCTGAGCACATAATTCTGTGGAAAGTCAAGGTTAATAATAGAAAGGCATTACAAGGATTTATAGCTCTAGAGAAAGTACCTGTTCGCTAATGTATCTGTTCATCACTATCGCGTTATGCGACCTATTCGTCATTCTATAGGGCCGCGACTGTTCGCGTGACTGAAGCGGTTCGTTACGCCTAATCGCGTAACTGAAGCGGTATGCTGACGTCATCACTCGGACCTGTTTCCTTACTGAGAAACGCGATACTGCGCGCTACACCAAAAACAGAACTTGCAGGAATGCAAAACTTCAATTATGCCGGAAGTTTAGGATACTTAGGGCTGATATATTCTCCCTAACTACTTAGTCCAACTAATGACAGGTATGGAAATGGTGTTCAACTAGATTGCGACTTCATTTTACTCGAAATATAGAAAACAGAAGGGTGCTATAACGACTCCATTACATTTTGGGAGCTTTAGGGCATGTAACATTTTCTCAAGCATCTTCCGAACCTAACATTCACCCTCTGTACTAGTTTTAGTATACATATCAGTAAATCCTACCAGACCCGCGTTCAATATTTCTGAATGGTCGATCCTGAGGCGTGTTCGTAAAAAATATTACACGCCCTTAGAACTCCTTGCTGATATGAATTCTATTTGTTTGTGCCATAGATGGCCAAGTTTGCAACATATATTGGCTAAAGAACAGTCTTATAAACTTCTTTCTCCCGATATTGTTGCATAACGAAGTGCTGTTGACAATTTATCTCGTCACAACTCTCTGGCGAAGACTCTTTCAATTCTGGCGCCAGCTATTGGCTGACAGCCGACCGATCTGGCATCCTTCCCGCGCGAGCGCCGTCAACTTCCATGATTCATGATCCACATCAGGCCCACCACTGATAGCATCAGCCCTAGAGATTGTCAGAACTGCTCCTTGGTTTCTTCGCCTTGCTCGTCTTCACACATACGAACTGGAGTTCGAACGTGACGAGCGACAGATCTCCCACGATGCGGAACCGCGGTGCCGGTCCTGACGGAGAACCGTTGGTCTCCTCCAATGACGGCGCGGAGGAGATGACGCTGTCCGGCGAGCCGGTTGCCGGCCGTTACAAGAAAGGCGCGCCGCTGAGCGACGCGGAGTTTCTGGCGGTGCACGGCAAGACGAGAGCGCAGATCGCGGAGGAGAGGCGGCTCGTGGAGGCGCAGGGGATGGAGATTAACTACCTGGTGCCGCCGCGATCGACGAAGCTGTCGGACGTGGTGGCAGTTTTCATCGCGCACATGTTGCCGTTCACTTTGGCCCCCTTCATCCTCACCATAGTCGTCGTGTACACCTCGTACATGTAAGCGGCTAGGCGTGTACACCTCGTACATGTAAGCGGCTAGGCGTGTACACCTCGTACATGTAAGCGGCTAGGCGTGTACATCTCGTACATGTAAGCGGCTAGGCGTGTACACCTCGTACATGTAAGCGGCTAGGCGTGTACACCTCGTACATGTAAGCGGCTAGGCGTGTACACCTCGTACATGTAAGAGATTAATAGTGTACACCTCGCACATGTTAGAGGTTAGGCGTTTACGCCTCGTACATGTGAGTGATCAGATGATAAGAGAGAATGCCGCCATCGCAGCTGCTGCGTTGAGCTCTAGACGGCTCGACATGAGCTTTGGGGCTGTCGCATGCTCTTTCGTGTGCTCCGAACTCTCGTTGTTTGACATGCAGATCACAAGACCCATGGTCAGCACCCATCAACCATGATCCTTTTCCTGCACCCATCAACCATGACACATGATCCAAGGCCCTTCGCCCGTCCCCCGTGACCCGTGTGCGCCATCAGATTGCTGGGGTGGCTGGGCCCGCTCATCTCGTTCCTCGTGCTCTTCTACCTCACCGTCTGCCCGCGCCACTACGACCCCAACACGCGCCGCAAGTACCAGGTGCGCCACGGAGTGCGGCTAGGGGGTGGCACGAGAGGTGACGGTAACATGATGGCTGGGGGCAAGAGTGAGTGCTGGGAGCAAGAGTGAGTGCTGGGAGCAAGAGTGAGTGCTGGGAGCAAGAGTGAGTGCTGGGAGCAAGAGTGAGTGCTGGGAGCAAGAGTGAGTGCTGGGAGCAAGAGTGAGTGCTGAGAGCAAGAGTGAGTGCTGTAGGCAAGAGTGAGTGCTGGGAGCAAGAGTGAGTGCTGGGAGCAAGAGTGAGTGCTGGGAGCAAGAGTGAGTGCTGGGAGCAAGAGTGAGTGCTGGGAGCAAGAGTGAGTGCTGGGAGCAAGAGTGAGTGCTGGGAGCAAGAGTGAGTGCTGGGAGCAAGAGTGAGTGCTGGGAGCAAGAGTGAGTGCTGGGAGCAAGAGTGACTCCTGGGAGCAAGAGTGACTCCTGGGAGCAAGAGTGAGTGCTGGGAGCAAGAGTGAGTGCTGGGAGCAAGAGTGAGTGCTGGGAGCAAGAGTGAGTGCTGGGAGCAAGAGTGAGTGCTGGGAGCAAGAGTGAGTGCTGGGAGCAAGAGTGAGTGCTGGGAGCAAGAGTGAGTGCTGGGAGCAAGAGTGAGTGCTGGGAGCAAGAGCGAGGGCTGGAGGCAAGAGTGAGGGCGGTAGCGGAGCTTGGGAAAAGGGGTGGAAGCTTGCGTGGTGAGAGGAGTGAGCAGTGGGGGCTATTAATGCAGCATCGCACGCTGCTTATGCTGCAGCAGGCTCCGCATCACTCATCTCTCGCTGCCTGCACCTTGCTGCCTGCTCGTTCCTGACCCATCTCTGTCTCTTCATCCCTGCCTCTGCTTCTTCTCCCCACCTTATGCCCCCCAGGTTCTATAGCTTACATGGTATCAGTGCGCATGGTGACGCCCAGGGGCCCCATCCCCACCGCACTCTTTCCTTGTGCACAGCCTATTCTCATTCTCCCCCCCTTATGTCCCCCCCAGGAGCTGTACCTGAAGATGGCGCGGTACATGGTATCAGTGCGCATGGTGACGCCCAAGGACCCCATCCCGGACGGGCCGTACATCTTCGCCTTCCACCCGCACGGCCGCATGTTCTACTCCACCTCGCTCATCATCCAGAGCCACGAGCTCTGGCGGAAACACTTCTGCCCCAAAGGTAAGCTGCGCTGCTGTGCGGTGCTGTGATGTGTGCCTCTCATTGCATTGACTCATGCGATTGTGGCCCAAATCATAGCATTGCACGCATTGAGACGATTTTTTAGGCGCCTCAAAAATCATAGCATTGCACACATTGAGACGATTTTTGAGGCGCCTCAAACTGCACGCATTGAGAAGATTTTTGAGGCGCCTCAAAAATCATAGCATTGCACCCAGTGTTGCTTACATGGCCGTACGCTTTTTCTCCCTGCCCTCTCTCGCACCTCCTTCCACCATATGCGCCCCCCCTAAGTGCACCCCCCATAAATGCACCTTCCGCATATGCTCCTCCCCTACATGCACCTTACCTTAAAGCACCTCCCCTAAACGCACCTACCCTAAACGCACCTCCCCCAAACGCACTATCCACAGGCGAGTTCTTCGGGTCAGCAGCGGGCAGCTTCTTCGTGGTGCCCATAGTGCGCAACATCCTCAACAACCTGGGGCTCGTGTCCGTGGACAAGCACGCCATTGTCTCCACGCTCAGGAACAAGGACCATGTGAGTTTGCCTAGGAATGTTGTCGAAACATCCCCAACAGCCTGGGGCTTGTCTCTGTTGACAGGCACGCCATGGTGTGGACACTGAGGACCAAGGACTAGGAACATGTGAGTGAGGCATAAAAACTGGCATAGGAGTGGTGACTAGGCTAGGAACATGATCGCAACATCCTCAACAACCTGGGGCTCGTGTCCGTGGGCAAGAACACGGAGCATTTGACTGACAAGGGGCGTGTGATCGGTGGGTAAGAGCGCGTGGATGACAAGCACGGGAGTGGCAAGGCAAATCGCGATTTATGGCAGAGCTGGTGGCATTCGTCATGCTGACCGTGTCATGTGCGTGGGTGTGCGTGGTGGGCAGGTGACCATAACGATCGGAGGGGTGAAGGAGATCTGCCTGGGCACCAGCCCCAAGTATGACAAGCTCTACCTCATGCGGAGGTGAGCAAGCGGGCGCGGCAGGCTGCTGTGTTGTTGATGAGGCTGGGGGGTTGTGTTTTTAGGAGGGGGGGGGAGGTCTGCTTCCCTTTATGCTGCCCCTGATTCCTCTCATGCTGCCCCTGCTTTCTTGCATGCTGCCCCTGCTTTCTTGCATGCTGCCCCTGCTTTCTTGCATGCTGCCCCTGCTTTCTTGCATGCTGCCCCTGCTTTCTTGCATGCTGCCCCTGCTTTCTTGCATGCTGCCCCTGCGTTCTCGCATGCTGCCCCTGCTTTCTCGCATGCTGCCCCTGCGTTCTCGCATGCTGCCCCTGCTTCCTGCGTTCTCTCTCCCCTTGTGCAGGAAGGGGTTCATGAAGGTGGCCGTGGATGAGAAGGCCGTCTTGAGTCCACTCAGCACACGCCTCTGCTCTGCTCTCTCTCTCTCTCTCTCCCCCCTTCCCCCCCGCCCCCCATCTTCCCACTGGCAGGAAGGGGTTCATCAAGGTGGCCATGGATGAGAAGGTGGGCATCGTGCCCATCTACAACTTCAACGAGAACCAGGTGATGCCACATGCCATGATGTGCCATAATGTGCCATGATGTGCCATGGTGTGCCATGATGTGCCATGATGTGCCATGATGCGCCATGATGCGCCCTGATGTGCACATCTACAACTTCAACAAGAACCAGGTGATCCCACATGCCATGATGTGCCATGATGTGCCCTGATGTGCCATGATGTGCCATGATGTGCCATGACGTGCCATGATGTGCCATGATGCGCCAATGATGCGCCATGACGTGCCCATCTACAACTTCAACAAGAACCAGTGGGTGCATTGGGTGCGGCTTTGCTGCTGTGTGCTGGCGCCCACATGCCATGATGTGCCCATCTACAACTTCAATCAGAACAAGGGCTTATGTGCTACATGCTGCCATTCTTTGTGTTGCCACATACATGGTGATGCCACTGTGCCCCTATATGCTATGTGCTATGTTCTGCCCTATGGCAATGCCACATGCCATGGTGCGTCCAGCCACAACCACCAGCGCAGCTTGCATCCATACAGTCATACCACTTCTGTCCTCCCCCTCTGCCCTACGGCGATATGCCACACACTGTGGTTCTGGCCATCTTCCTTAATCCTCCCCCTCCGTCCTCTCTCTCCCTCCCAGATCTTCAAGCCGGAGCCGCACTGGTTCCTGGCGTTTTGGGAGTGGGTGAACAACTATGTGGGCTTGGGCGTGCCGGGCATGCGCGGCTACCTGCACCTGCCCATGCCCTTGCGCAAGTGAGCTGCTCATTCTGTGTGTGGTGTGGTGTGGTATGGTGTGGTATGATATGCTGTATCATGGCGTTTCAGGCATGCACGGCTACCTGCACCTGCCCATGCCCCTGCGCAAGTGAGTGCTGCTTTGACTGTATGGCGCGGTGTGCTGTGTTGTTGTGCTGTGCTGCGCTGTGCATTGGAGTGCTGGGGATGGGGTGCTGCTTGCACAGGCCCATGCGCTTCTGCAAGGGAGGCGCTATCACTATGTGCTCAAGTGGGGGGTGTTATGGTGTGGTACGGTGTGGTGCTGTGTGGTGATGTGAGTTGTGGTTCCATCTGGCTCTCGTGGCCAGACTGCTTGCAAGAGCTCATCTGTGCTTCAGTGAGCTCAGAATGTTTGTGCATATGAGCACAGAATGTTAGTGCATGTGAGCATGGAATGTTCGTGCATGTGAGCACTGTGTGCATGGAGAGAGCCGCAGTTTGTGGTGGGCAAGCCATTGTTTGCTCACGAGGGTGAGACAGCGGATGGCGACTTCTGTGCGCGCTACATGAAGGCATTCCCGTGCATCTAACTATGGCTGTTTATGGTGTTGTTTGCATGTGTGGGGAGCCCACAGGGAGCTGCTGTTCGTGGTGGGCAAGCCGCTGTTCGCCAGGGAGGGCGAGACGGTGGACGACTTCCATGCGCGCTACGTGGCCGCGGTAAAGCAGCTCTTCGACACCTACGCGCCCATCTCGCCAGACCCCTCCCACAAGCTCATCATCACATAGCCATGTCTTGTGGTTGTAATCCGACTAGGTAGTCCTGTGATGCCGACTAGGTAGCCATGTTTGCAGTGCGTTATAAGCACACAGCCGTAGCTGCAACAGCTTGGCAATGTACCGATCAAGGCATTGCTGCTGCTGGGTGTGTCAGTTTCACACGTATGGTATGCCCTGTATGAGGGCAGGAGCATTAGAGTAGTGGGGTTAGCACCCGGATAAAGTGGTTATATGAGAACTAGAGTAGGGTGTGTTTGTGTGTGTGGTGTGTGCCTAGGTCGCATTGGGTGCACATAACACCTAGCTAACACCTCTCACTGCTGTGCTGACTGCTGCCTGATGATTTGCCTGCCTCGGATGCATGTGATGAAACATTTCTCACATTTATGTCACATTGCAAAGCGGCGTCCAGCATAGCTGCAACGTGGATTATGAATACACGGCTAGTTGGATCCAGTAGCAGCACGAGCAGAGAAGCATGCAATGGCATTGCCTCCTGCTTACACAAGGGCACCTGGAATCACTGTTTGGGGCGCCAGAAGAAGCCAAAGAGCGTGTGGGTAAGGTAGAGGGGGAAGAGCATGGCTATGGCAAGCTCACACGCTATGAAGGCCGCTGTGATAACTGTGAAGTCCCCCGCCATTGTCACCTCACCGTAACTGGGAGTAGGGGGGGGGAGGGGAGAGGTGGAGAGAGGGAGAGGGTGTGTGCTAAGAATGTCAGCCAGTGGCATGCGTCTCCTGTCAGTGGTAGCGCTGCTGGCTGCAGGACACCACAACTCTTACGTCATGAGGGGGATACTGACGACACGAGGGGTGTACTGACGACACGCGGGGGGTGCTGACGACACGAGGGGGGTACTGACGACACGAGGGGGGTACTGACGACACGAGGGGGATACTGACGACGCGAGGGGGGTACTGACGACATGAGGGGGGTACTGACGACACGCGGGGGGTACTGACGACACGAGGGGGGTACTGACGACACGCGGGGGGTACTGACGACACGAGGGGGGTACTGACGACACGAGGGGGGTACTGACGACACGAGGGGGATACTGACGACACGAGGGGGGTACTGATGACACGAGGTGGGTACTGACGTTATGAGGGGGGTACCGACGCTATCAGGGGGTACTGCAGCAGTTACCTCATGAGGGGGTACTGCAGCAGAGCCGCGAAGGCCCCAATGAAGCGGGTGATGCCGTAGAGGCGCCCGAAGTTGCGGAAGCCAAAGAGAGCCGCAATGAGAGCCGCCATGCTGCTGTAGATGAAGGCACGGGCGATGCTGTACGCCGTGAAGCCCAGGAGCTGAGGATGGGGGAGAGGGATGAGAATGAAAGGTATGCATGCTGCTGTAGACGACGGCTCTAGACACCTTGTAGGCCATGAAACCCAGCAGCTGAGGATGGGGGAGGTGGGGGAAGGGGTGGGGCACGCTGCAGAGTATGGCCAGGCAGTGCATGAGAGTGATGTGCCGCAGCAGAGAGCATCAGGACGTGTGGCATCATGGCATGGCATGGCGGTACCTGCCGCTTGCCATGGCACCATCATGGCATCATGACATGGCAGGACGCACCAGTGGGCGACTCACCATGGCGTCCAGAGGAATGTGTGGGGCGAGCAGCAGCAGCAGTGACGAGAGCAGCGAGAGGGCGGCAGTGACGGCAAAGGCGGGCGGCAGGCCGAGGGAGTCGATGGTCCAGCCAGCCAGAGGCACGCTGAGGCAGCCGCCCAGCGGGAGCACGCAGTTGAAGGCGTCGATGAGGCGCTGCTCCACGGCCGAGGCGGCTGATTGGGGCTGGATGGCCTTGGCGCACTGCAGAGGAAAGTGGACGAAGGGGGAAGGCAGGGGGGAGGCAGGGGGAAGGCAGATGAAGGCGTCGTGTAGTGCTGCTCCACGGCTGAGGCGGTGGATGGCCCTGTGCTGCGACGGCGCATGGGGCTGCTCACACGGCCATAGCACACCCTCGATGCAACTAGCAGGCAAGCTATACGAAGTGAATGAGTAGAGCAACGTGCACGAGCATTACATGGCCCCATCTCATCTCACCACGGCGAATTGGATCTGGTCGTTGACGGCAGCGATGTAGAGGTTGGAGCGCAGCACGAGGAACGCCGACACCACCACGTGCACCCAGAACAGGGGCGATCTGCAGCGATGGACCAGCAGGAGGCAGGGCGAGAGAGGCAGGGCGAGAGAGGCAGGGCGAGAGAGGCAGGGTGAGAGAGACAGGGCGAGAGAGGCAGGGCGAGAGAGACAGGGCGAGAGAGGCAGGGGTGAGAGTGAGGAGGAGAGGGCGACCTTGCAAGGGTGGCTGGGAGGCACAGTCAGGGAGTGACGGGCCCCTGTTGACACACCATGTCAGTGGCCCGAAAAGGGGGGGGAGGGGGAGGAGGTGGTACTCAAAACAGCGGTGAGCAGATACGTGCAGAGCATGGGTGGGAAGGGGCACCTGAGCTGAGTGGCGACGTCTGAGTTGTAGACGTCGGGCGGGGGTGGCAGGCACTTGCTGCTCCTGCCATGGAGGACCACGATGGGTAGGCTGGATGGGGATGGCATGCTTGCATGTGGCGCAACTGATGGCAGCGACACGTGGCACGATGACACGCCTGCTGGAATGGCGTCATCTGAAGTTTCCAATTCTCCTGGCCTATTGGCTGCAGCAGCAGCGGCAGCACCATCACTGCCAGCAGAGGCACCATCACTGCCAGCAGCAGCCAAGAGGCGCAGTAAATAGAGTCGCTCCAACTCCCCGCTGCGTCTCGTTCCCCCTCCTACCCATCCAGTCAACCCCTCCTCCTCATCCCCTCGTCCCACTCCCGCTGTCATCCCTTCCCTCCCTTCTCTCATCGCCCCCCCCTCCCCGCCTGCACCCTCGCTCCTCCCGCCTCTCTTGTCCACGGCTGGCCTTTCTTGCCCCCTCTCTCTCTTGTCCTCGCCTGACTGCCCCTCGCTTGACTGCCCCTCGGCTGTGGATTGGAGGAGAGGCGTGGCGAGGGGGGTGAGGGGGCCGGGATGGAGTGAGGCGGAGGAGGAAGCAGAGGGAGGAGTGGTGCGCGGCTCAGGAGTGGGTATGACGCCAAATGGGCTGTAGGGGGGGGGGAGAGGAGAGAGAATAGGGACAGAGGAAAATGGGATGGGGGGAGGCGAGTGGACGATGCGCATGGCTGGTGATGGTGCGCTATAGAGATCGAGCATGGGGGTATGTACGTATGGAGCCTCTCCAGTGACCTTGCACCCATACTCTGATTGAGAAACGCAGAGGAATCTGCCACGCAGGCACATGCACTGCAGTGCAGGCTCATTGCTCTCTCCCAACTACCAAGACGCCTCACACATTGCGCAAGCCATCTCTCCACACCATCTCACACACAAGGCGCTCCCACCCTAACCACCGTCTCACACATCGGGGAAGAAGGCCGCAACGACGGCAGCGAGCTCAAGCGGTGCGGTGAGGTAAGTGAGGAAGATGGCGGGGAGGGCGAGGTGCAGGCGTGCAACAGCGAGGGCGAAGAGGAAGAGCACGATGGCAGAGGCGTTCGGCACACACAACACACGCACAACCCGTCTCCACTGCCGCCTCACACATCGGGGAAGAAGGCTGCAGCGACAGCAGCGAGTGCAAGTGGCACCACGAGGTAAGCGAGGCAGACAGCGGGGAGCGAGAGGTGGGCGCGCGAGACAGCGAGGCCGAAGAGGAAGAAGACGATGGCAGACGCGTCGAATGCGCCGCTCTGCGCTGCAATGATCACCGCTGACGCTGAGGGCAGCAGCTCGGAGAAATTGATCTGGCGGGTGGGGTGGGGGGGGAGGGGAGAGGGAACAAAAAGGACCAATTGAGAGGTAGTTTTTGAGGTGTCTCAACGATCGGCTGCTGCTGGAAAGCTGATCTTCCAAAGGGGGGGCGGGGGTGATGTGACGATTATGCAGCAGCGTACCATGGGAGTGAGGATGAAGGGACCTCCCAGCGCCAGGAGAAAGAAGGCGGCAAAGAAGCACGCCCCTGCCACTCCCACTCCTCCTCCCGCTCCCCCTCCTCTTGCCACGCCTCCAGCGCCCCCTGCCACGCCTCCAGCGCCCCCTGCCACGCCTCCCCCTCCCTGCTCCACGTTCCCCCAGTGCGTGGATGCATTAACCATTACTTGCCATGCCCCTTGGCGGCCTCTGATTGGCTGAGACAGGTTCGCTAACAGCACAGAGCGCTGTTGTGGCGCCTCAGAGTCGGTGTGAAGCGGGGTCGGATGGAGTGGCCACGAGGGGGTTACCAGTGGGCGGTGTGAGGAGGGCGGTAGGCGGAGGATGGGGCGAAGCGAGGGAAGCAAGGGATGGGTGGGGCGGAGAGCGAGGGAGGAGGGCGGTCCGGGGGGCGGGTGCGAGTAGGCGCCGCCCATGGCGAGGGCGAGGAGGCCGGCGGCAAACACAAGCGAGCCGGTGATGGTGGTGGCGCGCGGGCCGTAGGCGTCGAGGAATGCCCCTACTGGTAGCAGGCACGCGCTGTTGGTCACCATGCCTGGCAGGGGGGGGGGGGGATGGATGGGTTTTGAGTCGACTCAAAAGCACGAGCGAGCCCGTGATGGTAGTGACGCGAGGGGAGTAGGCGTCGATGAGAGCACCCACCGGTACCAGTTACCCATATGCCATCAGTTACCCATCTGCCATCAGTTACCCATCTGCCATCAGTTACCCATCTGCCATCAGTTACCCATCTGCCATCAGTTACCCATCTGCCATCAGTTACCCATCTGCCATCAGTTACCCATCTGCCATCAGTTACCCATCTGCCACCAGTTACCCATCTGCCATCAGTTACCCATCTGCCATCACTTACCCATCTGCCATCAGTTACCCATCTGCCATCAGTTACCCACCCACCGGTAGCAAACACGCGCTTTTGGTGACCATGCGTGCAAGAGACATGGCATGGGCAGGGAGGCGGGGGGAGGGGAGCGAGCAGGGGCGAGGCATGGGGTTGGTGGGAGGGCGGGCAAGGGGCGCGGAGCACGGAGGGAGAAGATGGGGAAACGAGGGGGGAGGGGGGGTAAGGAGGAGTACGGGGGTGGACGGCAGGGGGAAGGGGGGGAACAGCAGTGAGGATGCAAGCAGCGGTCGGGTGAGAAGGGGTGGGTCGGGCTTGGTGAGAGGCAGAGTTGAGCACGCGAGGCATACGAGCAGGGTCGACCTGGGTCGTCTCGCCTCCCCCACCAATGCACGCACATCCGTTCCAGTCAAACCCCCCTCTCCCCCTTCTCGCCTCGTTACAGTCACCTACTTAGCGTGTACGCGGCGTTGAGCAGGTCCATCTGAGCGGCGCACGGCACGTCCTCCCCCTCGTTACAAGCACCGCGGAACGCGCCCACGTCGAGCACCAGCGCGGGCAGGATGCCGGAATAGCCGTAGATGATGCCTGGGGGAGGGAAGAAGGGGCGCGTGGGGGGGAGTGGGGTTCGGGGAAGCGGGATGGGGGGAGTTGGGAGTCAAGCCCGCGCGGCAGAATGCACGAACAGCCATAGATGATGCCTGGGGGGAAGGGGGAGGGGAAGCGGGGAAGTGCGCGTCCGACAATGTACCCTTTCCAAAGCTGGGGATTGCGCAAGTCTCGTGCGACACAGCCACCATAATTAGCAGTACCGGCGGTGAGCAGCGCGCCGAGCACGGAGACGGTGACTAGCACCCACCGCCTGCCGCCCGACAGCTGCCCCACGCCCTCCCCTGCTGCTCGCGTGGCGACCGCCGCCATTATCACGCGGGGATCCGCTCCTGCTCGCACGCCGTGACGCGCTCGCTGCTATTCGCTACTCGGCATGCGAAAGCACGATCCGCAAGGAAATGCTCTAGCGGGCATAGCACGTGGCGATCCGACGGCTGTCGTAGCGGCCGGTCGGACGGCCGACAGGTTTGGCGACGAGGAGCTCAAGAAACGATAGGCACCAGGCACGATGCGGTGCGGAGGAGGAGTCGAATTCAAATTCGACGAGTTGCGGCTCTTGCGGCGCTTGCGGCACTAGCGGCCATGAGAATAGGGGCTGCGTGGCGTTGTGAAAAAGCGCCACGTTACCGGGAATCCCAGGGGCCCTCCGTGGCGCGAGGAACCAAGCGGGAACACATAATAGATTGGCCCGTCATAAGAAAATTATTAACATCGTGTAGCGGTTGCAAACTGTCTCTTCATATACTATCGAATAAATAAATAATAATGGTACATGCTAAATAACAGCCTCAAACTCCCGTTGCTCTACTTCTTTCCACCATATAATCTTTGTGGTGGTCTCCAAAAATATTCATACATGGCTACTGAGAGGTAGTATGGAAACGTGGCTGTTAGAATGAGCTCTATAATGAGGAAGATACCGTTCACCACAACGAACTGTGCACCTGTGGAGGATTCACACACGCTGTACAATGGCAAAAAACAGGGAAAATGGGCAGGAATTTTAACAAGGAAAAGCGCGAAACTTCCTTTTTTCTCATGAAGCACTGATAGCATTACCCACCTCATTAGAGGATATTGCAGCACTGTCAGAAACGCTCCTCCTAGGCGGTTGATCCCATACAGCCGCCCAAAGTTCCGGAAGCCAAAGAGAGAGCCCACATATGCAGCCATGGTGCTGTAGATGAAGGCCCTGGCGATGGCGAAGGCTACGAAGGCCACAAGCTGCAGCATATGTACATAGACCAGAGGGAGAGAGTCTGAGAATGTGTATGTGTGTGTGTTTGTGTGTGTGTGTGTGTGTGTGTGTGTTGTGCACGAGAGGGAAGATAGTGGGGCAAATGACATACAGTACGCCAAGTGAAAACAAAAATTAGTGCAATACATGCATCAAGTAGCTTCGACAGAGTCGAGAGAAGCTAGAGCTGAAAGACCCACCTGCACGGGAAGCGGCACCACGGATGCGGCCATCTGAACAGCGGAGCAGAGTGCGCACAGCAGCGTGGTCACGCCGAAGCTGAACGGCAGCCCCGGCCGCTCCATGCTCCACCCCGCCAGCGGCACAGCCAGCACGCCGCCCGCCGCGAGCACGATGTTGAATATGTCGATGTAGCGGGCGATTTGCGCGGTGGCGTCGGATGGAAGCTCGGTGGCGGGGGTTGCGGGAGGGATGCCCATGAGGAGGAGCTGTATGCGAGTGGAAGGGGATGGGGGAGGAGGGGCACGCGGGAAGAAATGGGAGATGGTGAGAGAGGGATGGGGACGTGGCATACTTTGATGCTTGAGTTGACATGATAGCACATAGCACATAGCACATAGCATGTAGCATGCACCACAATGTGCTGGATGTGTTCGTTGACATGATGGCACATTGCACGTAGCACACGGCACATGGCACATAGCACATGGCACATAGCACATGGCACATAGCACATGGCACATAGCACATGGCACATAGCACATGACTCATAGCACATAGCACATGGCACAAGGAACATGGCACATGGCACATGGCACAAGGCACATGGCACATGGCACAAGGCACAAGGCACATGGCACAAGGCACAAGGCACGTAGGACCTACCACGGTGTGTTGGATGTGGGCGTTAACGGCGGCAATGAAGAAGTTGGAGCGCAGCACGAGGTATGCCGACACCGCCAGGTGCACCCAGAACAGGGCCGACCTGCGGAGGGCAAGAGAGGGGTGGGGCGGGTTAGAGAGACATTGAGAAGTTGGAGCGCAGCACGAGGTATGCCGACACTGCCACGTGCACCCATAACAGGGGCGACATGTTGGGTGAAGGGGTGACACGAATTTGAGGTGATTTTGTGAAAGGCAAGAGGAGGAGAAGAGGCCGCAGGCACATGGGGCCAGTGCGTTTGCGTATGGAGACGAGCCCTGCTTTGGTAAACCATAGAACGCAGGAAAGACGTAAAAATCAAAACTAAGCGCAACTGCACGGATGTGAGTGAGGTCCCATGTGTGCGCGTGGGTGGAATACCTGAGCTGCAGCTTGAGCGTGGAGTTGAAGATGTCAGGCGGGGGTGGAATACCTGCTGCAGCTCCTTCCTCTCCTGCTCCTCCTGCTGTTGTTGCTGCTGCCGCTGCCCGTGCCACCCGCAGAGCATACAGCCTCCCTAGCTCGCCCGTGTCCCACTGACTCCCCTTCTCCTCCCCCCCCTCCCCCTCTCCATTCATCCCTCCCACCGTCCGGCCCTCCCCTCCGTCTTCCCCATCGCCGTCCCTCGACCCGCTATACACCACAGGTACTGCAGTCTCTTTTCTCTCTCCATCCACCTCTACCTCCCTCCCGCCCTCCCCTCCATTCTCCCCCCCCTCGTCGTCGCTCGACCCGCTGCTGTACACGAGGGCCACCACACTCCCCTTCCTTACCCCCCCACCACTGCCTATCTCCCTGTCACTCTCGCTCTCACTGCTGCTACTGCTGCTGCTGGAGCACTCCTCCTCATCACCGCTACCATCCACTACCCCTCTCATCCCCCCTCCCTCCACTTTCTCTGCATCTGCCACCAAAACTACTTCGCCTTCCCCCTCCCTCAATCCCCTGTCCTCTACATCCACTGTTTCCGTCTCTCCTCCCCGCACACCCCCTCCGCCGTCCGCCCCCTCATCGCTTCCATGCTGCGCCGCACTGATCCTGGCGGCGCCGAACGGCCGGTTGGGGAAGGTGGCCGCGGCAAGGGCGGCGAGGGCGAGGGGCACGAGGCAGTAGGCGAGGGAGAGCGCGGCGAGGGGGAGGCGGAGGCGCGCGACGGCGAGGCCGAGCAGGAAGAGCACGAGCGCGGACGCCTCGAAGGCGCCCGCCTGCGCGCTGATGATGGCGGAGGAGAGGCGCGGCACGAGCACACAGAAGTTGATCTGGGGGGGGGGGGGGGGAAGGGGGAAGGGGGAAGGGGGAAGGGGAAGGGGGAAGGGGAGGGGGAGTGGATGAAAGAGTGGAAAGAAATCGGCCAAGAGGTTCCTGGAGAGAGGAGGGGGATGGTGCCAGGAGTGGGAAGGAGGAGGGAGTGAGAACGAGTAAGGGATTCGCGAACCATGGCGGTGAAGATGAAGGGGCCGCCGAGGGAGAGCAGGAAGAAGGCGGCGAAGAAAAGCACGCCCGACGCCACTCCCCTCCCACCGCTCCCTGACGTCCCCCCTGCGCCCCCTTGCCCCTCCTCCAGCTCTCGTCGCCACACTCCCCCGGCACCTCCCTTCCCTCGCTCGGCTCCCCGCCAGCGGCCGCTGCCTACCTTCCTCCACATGGCATGGCGATGCCCTCTAGACGCCCCCACTGCCACACCGCCACCAAAGCCCCCATGTTCTTCCGCTCTCTCCACCCTCCATGCCCCCCCCATCATCACCATGCACGCAACTTCTCGCGCCAGATGCGTTTTTCTCCCTCCCGTCAGCTGCGCCCACGGGCCCAGGGGCGCTTTCCCGATCCGCTCCGCTTCCGACCGCATCAACCCTCTTGGAGGCGCACCTGTGCCTGCCGCGCCAACACTCAGCTTCGCCACGTCTGCCGCCGCTGGCGCAGCCGCTGTGGCATTGGCGCTGTCTGTACTGGGCGGCGGGGTGTTAGTACTAGGCAGCGGGGCGGTATAGGGGGGCCCGGGCGCGAAGGCGGCAGCGCCGGCGAGGGCGAGGAGGCCGGCAGCAAAGATGGCGGTGCCGAGGAGCGAGGTGCGGCGAGGCCCGGTGCGGTCGAGAACGAGACCCACCACGATGGCGCTCGCGCTGTTGGTGAACATGCCTGGGGGGGGGAGGAGGGAGAGGCAGGGGGAGAGGCAGGGGGAGAGGGAGGGGGGAGAGGGAGGGGGGAGAGGGAGGGGGGAGAGGGAGGGGGGAGAGGGAGGGGGGAGAGGGAGGGGGGATGGGAGAGAACCGGGGGGCGGAATGGGGAGCGGAAGCCGGTGAGAGCGGGAGAGGCGGCGAGATGCCGGCGGGGCATATCATGGGGAACATGGATGCTGCGCAGGTAAATTCACAAGAGTTCGAATATGGTGGCGCGCCAGCATGTGAATGAACTGCGAAACACACTGAGGGTGTATGCCGCGTTGAGCAGGTTCATCTGTCGCGCGCATGGCGCGGGTTCGCCCGCCTGACACGCGTCGCTGAAGGCGCCGACTTGCCCCGTGAGCGCGGGGAGGATGCCCGAGTACCCGAAGGTGACGCCTGGCGGAGGGGAGTGAGCGGCGGAGAGAGGAGGAGGGGAGAAGGGCCGTTGAGTGGCGTGGGGTCGTTGGACTGGATGCGGTACCACCGCGAGACTCTCGTCGGACGAGTAGCGGTGAACGTTGTGACTGATGACGATACGGTGACGGCGATGCGACAGTAAGGGAAACGGGCGTCTAATGTAGCCAGACCTGCAGTGAGAAAGGCGGCGACGATGGACGTCGAGACGAGCAGCACGCGACGACCGCGAGTCAGCTGCTCTGGCCGCGCCATCCCCGTGCGATTCTGCACTACCTGGGAGCTACGAACTGGAGCTGCACGCGCGCACGTCGGAAATTCGGTGCATCTAGCCTCCTATCGGTTACTGGCTGAGGTCTACGGTTACACTACGTTCTAAGCCGAATGGTTGGACATGAACTGGCATTGGTCCTCCTGCATTGTTTCTGCGTTCTTTTGGAATCCAGCAGGCCTCGAATTCTCCCTTGCTCGCCCGCAACCAGCAATGGTTGCCACGAGCTCATTTCCCAAGGTATCTCTCGAGACCTCCTTACCCCGCGTCGCGCAGTGGTTGGGATTTCCCCATTATTGGGCACAGTGGCAAGCCGCTGAATCTCAGGCCGAGCCTCAACCGAATTGCGGCGGACCGGAAGCCCAGAACGCGTCGCTTCTCGAAGCTGTGATTTTGGTCTGAGATTTGCCTTGCTCCGCTGGCGATTGCGCCGCATAGCGCGCCGGGCTCCAAACCTGCAAGAGCCAATCAAAAGATGAATTCATTGGCTCTTGGTGGTGGAAACGCCAGCGCAGAGCGAATCAGGCAAGCTGGCACAGCCTGTCTGCCGCCAGGTGGTGGAAGGCTCTTGGTGATGTCACGAAGTCAGCACACGCCTCAAACACGCAAGGGTTTCCCAAGCCACGAATGTGAGGCAAAGGAATCAGCCGACAGCGAAATTGCAGTGTAATCAAACACTAAAAATCTACAGCATTCATGCAAAAACATAGCATTGTGTTCACATCAAGAGCATCCCTGCAGTTAGCTCTAGGATGACTAGGAGAAGCGCACCCTTTCTCAAGAGGCGGTTGCTGGCTGTTTCTGCTTCTTCCTCTCGCGCTTCTCCTTGCGCTTGAGCGAGTCCATGTGGGCCTTAAGAACGAGTGCATAAGCCGCCTGGAACTTGGCATGCTCCCGAGGCCCCAGCTGCAGTGAGGTGGTGTAAGAAGAGTACAAGACAAGACCCAGAAACAAGCATGAGAAATTGTTATGCAGAAAGTTCTGCGAGCAATGTTGTGGCATGAGCGGCCGTGCATGCAGCATGAGTGGCCTGGCCTTGCATGCGGTACGAGCGGCTAACCACGCAGCATGGGCAGCCATGCATCCTTACCAGGGTGCTGATCTTCCTCTTGCCATCGGTGGCCCTCACGATGCACCGGTACTCCGCGGCGCTGCTCTCATCCTCCTCCACATCATCCGCCCCTGCCTTCTTCGCACCCCCCTTGGGCTTCTTGCGCAGATTGGCTGCAGGGCAAGAAGTGATAGGAGATGGGAGAGGGAGGGAACTGAAGGCATGAAGGATGCAGGGATGAAGGGGCGGACGGCAGGCACCACTTCCAAACAAACGCCACCCAATTGTTCCCCTCTCGTACATCGCCAGAGCCTAACCCCCACTCAAATCGCTTGAGCATGCCCCCCCCACTCACATCGCTTGAGAGTGACCCACACGGTGCCGGCGCCCTTGTGGCGCTCGTACAGCTTGGTGAGCTCGTTCAGGAAGGGGTCCGGCTCCAGCAGCATCTGCACGCGCAGCGGGCACACGGGGCATGCAGGGGCCCAGGGGGCATGCAGGGCGCACAGAGGGCACACGCAGGCACGCAGAGGGCACACGCAGGCACGCAGAGGGCATACAGAGCACACACGGGGGCACAACGGGCATGCAGGGGCACACGGAGCACTCGGGGGCACAGCAGGCATGCAGGGCGCACACGGGGCATAGCAGGCACAGCGCGCACGCAGGGGGCACAGGAGACACGCAGGGGCCAAGCAGGCAGGCAGGGGGGCAAGGGGCGCGAGGGGACGAGCAGAGGAGGAGGAGGGCATTAAAGCAGCAAGGCAAGTGCTGAGGGCTGAGGGATGCAACCTGACGGATTGGCTGAGATCAAATGAGGGAGGCGGGGAAGGGTGAGACAAGAGGGGTGGTGGAGGGAAGAGAAGAAAAGGCCGTGGAGGGATGAAGATGTAGGGAGTGGATTGAGCAGACCCAGGTAAGGGGAAGGAAGACGGGAGAGGGAACAGACGAAGGGAGAGGCGGAGGAAGTGGAAGCTGACGAAGCACCAGGATGTGCCATGGAGAGTGGAACAAGCATGTGGGGAAGGGGTGCGCGGGGAGAGAGGGGGTGCAGCAAAGGACGTTATCACGTTAATTGGCAACTCAGTGGGTTATAGGGTACATTCACAATATAGAACCCGGGTAAACCGGTTAACCAACAGGAATAAGCATAACGCTTGCAACACTGCTGCTCCTGCCGTTCGCTGGCGCTAGCTGCGAGTGGATCCCTATATCCGCGCTACTCCTGCCGTTTACCCTCTACTGCCACTCCTAGCAGCGACTGCTCCTCCGCCTGCTGCTGCTTCGTCACCGGCAGCGCAGTGGCGGCAGCAGCGACAGCCTTTTCTCTCTCGACAGCCCAGCTGTAGGCCAGCATGCCGAGCACAGCGACGGCCATGCCCATGAGGTTCTTGGCAGTGAGCGGCGAGTGGAAGAGCAGCGAGCCGAGCGTGAGCACGAAGAGCGTCTTCATGTGGCCCAGCACCTGGAACGACACCGCCGAGAACTTGCCGATGCACAGGTACATGCTCAGGTTCACGAACAGCGCCAGCACACACGACAGCACGATAAACGCCAGCGATGCGGCGGTGGGGCGGAAGGCGAGCAGGCTGTGGCGCGTGAGGAGGTAGTCGGCGGAGGGGCCGGCGAGCACGAGCAGGACGGCCTGGTAGGGCGCGGTCTTGCTGAGCAGGTCGAAGGACCCCACGCTGAACTGCTTCTGCAGCGACCCGATGAAGATCTGCTGGAAGGTGGTGGACAGCACCGCCACCACCGCCGCCACCAGCCCCGCCGTGTTGACGGTCACGTCGGTGACAGTGCAGATGCCGACGCCGATCATGACGCCCACGACTGCAGCTTTCACGGCGCGCGAGAAGGTTTTGCCGTGCAGCAGCGCCTCGAAGAGGCAGCAGGCGGGGATGATGGAGAGCTTGGTGATCTGGTAGAAGCCGACGGAGTTGAGCATGAGCGACACGTTCATACTCACCACCGCCACGCTCGCCACCACCGCGAACCACACCAGCGTGCGCGCTGGCACGTGCTTGCTGGGGGCCAGCGCGCCGGAGGCTGTGGCGGCGTTGCCGATGGCGGCGGTGGTGAGGAAGTGCAGCGCGGTGAGCGAGGTGGCGAAGACGAAGCGGTGCGCGGTCATGAGCGCCTTGTTGACCATGATGATGCCCACCGACGACACCACGTTCATCCCCCACGCCCCCGCCCACGACAGCGACGCCGGATCGTTCAGCATCGCGGCGGATTGACGGGGGGACGCGGGCGGGGAGAGGGGTAGCGGGAGCGGAGAGGACTAGCGGCGGAGAGGAGGGACGAGGGACGAAGTGGGGCCGCCCGCGATTGATTGATGAAGCTGGGCGTGCTGCGTCTGCCGCAGCTGCGCGTTGCGCGCCAAGCCTCACACTCGCTTCGCGTCTACGCCACTTGGACTACGGAGCGGATACGAGCGACCGGCTTGGACTGCTTATGGAGGGGCTACACGAAGCGGTTGACGCGCGCTAAGTGATCGGTTGACTGTGACGGTATGGCGCGACCGAGACCGACTGCGATCCTGATTCTCAAACTAAGAGCACGAGGAGGAGGAAGACTGCGAGATCGCGACCTCTGGCTCTACACGTCGCAACCCCCCCCGTGTTGGTGCGACTGTTCTTGGCGCTTACGCGTCTCAAGAACAGACCCCGAGCCTGCAAGGCCAACAGGCAGGGGGGGGACACACGGGGAGGAGCGGTGATTCTGAAGTCGTTAAAACTGGGAGGCAACAAAGAGCTAGCAGGTGAATGACGGGATTCTAAATCCAGTCAACTCCGGCCTCGAGCAATTCGGCCCAAAGATTAGAGCGCGACGGTGATTAGGTCAAAAGGGAAGAGCGCCCATCCAGATAATGAGCAAAAAATTGAATCTTTTCGTACAGCGAGGAGCGAATGAACAAAGAGGCCCAGAAAGCCGCATCCAGCCTCCTAGTGGCGGAGAATGAGCCAACGGTTGTGGGGCATTCTCGAGTCTTCTCGTACCGTGAAATTCGGGATTGTCAAACCACACAAAAAAAAGGACAATTCCCATGATCTCCAAAACGACGACCCGAATTCGAAATTCCAGCCAAGCGAGGCTGCACTTTGGTGATTGATCAGATCACGCATCCGCTGAAAGCCAGCCGCTGATCGCACGTCATGGCCCAGTACTCCATTATGACACAGCGCGACTACACCGAGAGAAATAACTTATCCTGATGTATCTAGGAGCTTACCTTGGGAATCTGCGGTGATCAGGGAGCAGTAAGCTGGTTGATCGTTTCCGCACCCGTTGAGTAGAGCTTCAAAATAGCAGATAGAGTAAAATCAAGCGATCGGTATGGAGCTAGCCAGTGGTGCGCAAGCACTGATCGGGGTTGGTGCTTGTCTGACACGCGCGGAGAAACGGAGAGGCACGCGGTGGCGGTGAGCAGCGGAGGGAAGCAGGCGCGCGGCTCAAGCGCGGCGGAGGCGGCTGAGGGGAGGACAACGGTGGGGGGGGGGTTTCAGATCAAGGAAAAAGTGGCGGATGAGATTTGCGGATTTGGGGAAGCCGAGTAATGTTCAGGAGAATGTCTGTGTGGTTACCACTAACGAATATTGGCGAGAGTGATGTCTCCTCTATATATAAGACAGCCCAACAAAAGTACAAAGCACACTGAGAGCTAGTGACACCACTTATTTGCGAAGCCAAGTGTACCCGGAATTTTGGTGGGCACCCGTCGGCCCTGAAAGCTCGGAAGCTGAGCCAGACTGCTCCCGCCACCGAGGCAATGGCTCGTGCCGCCGTTGGTAGAAAAGGATCCCACCGAGGCTGTTTCGACTCGGCTCGAGCCTGCTGCTCCTCCCGAACCAAACCAGCTCCCGCCATCACTACACTATCAGCCATCCTCTCTACTTCTTCATTGCTCCTCCCTATCTCCCCATCCCAAACCATACCTTGCCTTGCTCCCCTCCCCCCAAGTACAGTTTAGTTTAGTGTTCTCAGTCCAGGCGAGGGCTGTTCCCGATAATTTTAAGACTTTCACCTCTAGGCCTTCATGCAGACTCTATCTTCCCGTGCGGCGCGATCGTGCAGCGCATCCATTCCACGGCTGGAATCCGCTGGAGTAGGTGCGGCTGCCAGAGCGCAGATCTCGTCCATTCCCGTCGCTGCGTGCACCCCCGCTCGCTCATCCATCCCAGCATTGCGATCAGCGCGACTACATTCGCCACATAATGCCCTTAGAAGCGCATCGTCGATCCCAAGTATAAGACATGTAGCGTGCCCTGTCGCCGGTACTGCCCGTAATTCCGTGTTCTCGAGTTCTCATGGCTCCCGCGATCCTACCCAGACCTCGTTCCGCGACTCGTTTCTTCCCCGCGAGCCGCTATCCTGCCAAGGCCTGACAAGTCTCCTTCCCTCCTCGCGCTCGCATGGCAGCCATTCGTTCCGCGTGGCGAGCCCGTCGCGGCGGCGAGTTAGGGTTTCGGCGTCGTGGAAGTCCGGCAAGCCCAAGGTCAAGGGCAAGGCGGGCACGTCTAAGGGGGGGGCGGCGTGGCAGTCGGCGTACAGCCAGGCGTCGCGGAAGGGCAAGAGCGGCGATCAAGCGCGGCGGAGACACCGCGGCCGGCGGGGAGGCAAAGGCCCGCAGGAGGGGGATGGCACTGGTGACGGCGCGTTCGCGTACGGGCGGGGGGCGGGGGCAGGGGCAGGAGGCGGAGCCGGAGCATCAGGGGCGGGTGACGTGTCGGCGTCGGCGTCGTTCGCGTTCTACCACGCGGGGCTGGGCGGCATGCCCATCGCCGCCGAGCTCGTCACCGCGCAGCTCGGCGCCAAGAGCGGCGGCGCCGAGGAGGCGCTGCAGTCGCCCGAGAACCTCGCCATCCCCGTTAAAGACGTGCTCGAGGACGCGGAAGCCGCCGTCGCCGCCGTCGACAGGTGGGTGCTGGCCGCCGGGGCTGGGTGGCACGGCCGGGTGGCGAGGGGAGGGGTGGCGTGAGATGATGAGGCCTGCGGCGGGGAATGAGGTGCGCGCAGGATGAGTGAGCAGTACAGCGCGTGGCACAGACTTGCGTGGCAGGGGTAGAGTGGATGCTTCGAAGCCTATGTCAAGTGAATGACGCCATTTTCTTCCCTTTATGGGGTCTCGCGTGTGCTATTTGACTTACTCTGACGGTCCCTATGTGCGTGCTCCAACCTGTGCGTGGCAGTGTGTCAGCAAGCAGCGCGTTGCAGCTGCTGTCGGGCGCGTGCGTGCTGCCACATCCCGACAAGGCGCACCGAGGGGGTGAGGACGCCTTCTTCATCCTCGACGGCGCTGCTGTCGGTGAGTGCGGCATCGCTTTGGGACTCGCATTGCCTCTCCCTCTCCATCCCTCCCCACTTGCCGCACTCTCTGCCCCCATCCAACCCCGGCGCTCGCACTCTCTGCCCCCATCCAACCCCGGCGCTCGCACGCTCTGCCGCCCCCCCTCATTACCCCGCACCACCAACCCTAAGCTGCTCCCCGCCTCCACATGTGCTCTCTCCGCTCTACCTCTCGCCCTCCTCATCCCTCCCTCTGTGCCCGCCCCTGGCTGTGTGGCTGCGCGGCTCTCAGGCGTGGCGGACGGCGTGGGCGGGTGGGCGGAGATAGGCGTGGACGCGGGGCTGTACGCGCGCGAGCTGATGGCGCACGTGCAGAGCGCCGTGGCGGACGAGCCCAAGGGCGGCGCGGACCCCATGCGCGTGCTGGAGAGGGCGCACCTCAACACCGTCAGCTATGGGTCTTCTACTGCCTGCCTCGCCGTGCTGCAAGCTGACGTGAGAATGAGAGTGTTGTGTGCATGCATGGTCATGTGGACATGGCATGCGTGAATCCTCCCTCTCACCCCATCCCTTCTTCTGCCCCTCCTTCGCTTGCTCCATCCGTGCTCCCCCCTTGCAAAGAGCAGCAGCTGCAGGCGGCCAACCTGGGCGACAGCGGGTTTCTGATCATCCGCCATGGCCACGCCATCTTCAAGTCGCCCTCGCAGCAACACGACTTCAACTTCCCCTACCAGCTCGGCAGCGAAGGGGGCGACTCACCTCTTGCCGCCGATGTGAGCACTGCACTGCGCACCACACTCCCACCTGCAGCGTGCTCGTGCTCATCCGTCCGTCCATGCCTTATCATGCCCACCTCTCCATCTCTCAGCATCTCACCTGTCTTATCTACCATTCCCTGTCCCTGCAATCCCATGCCCCACGCGTTTCCACCCCATCGCATGCATCTCCCATGTGCCCATGTGCCCATGTGCCCATGTGCCCATGTGCCCATGTGCCCATGTGTTCCCTCTTCTCCACCCCCCTTGCAACCCCCTCCCCCCTGCAACCCCCTCCCCCCTGCCCCCCGCTCCCCCCCTGGCAGGTGTACTCGCTGCCAGTAGCACCGGGCGACGTGGTGGTGATGGGCACGGACGGGCTTTTTGACAACGTCTTCGACAGCGAGGTCTCGTCCCTAGTGGCGCACGCGCTGCTCAGGGGCCTTCCCCCGCAGGCCACTGCAGAGCACCTGGCCGCGCTCGCCAGGGACAGGGCGCTGGACCGCTTCCGCCTGTCGCCGTTTGCGCGCGCGGCGCAGGAGGCGGGGTACCGGTACATCGGGGGCAAGCTGGACGACATCACGGTGGTGGTGTCGTATGTCACCGAGGGCAAGTAGAGGCGTGCCCGTGGCATGTGTGGTGTGGAGCAGGGGGGAGAGTTGCGGATGGGGGTTAGGAAGGGGGCCTGCAATGCAGGCCATGTTGATGTAGGAATAGTTAGTGGATTCCTTGTGAATAGGTGCCGTACTGTTGTGTCAGAGTGTTTGCTCGCAAACAAGGGAATCTATAATCAGTCAGTTACTCTTGGCCTCGTTTGGCACCGTACAGCAATCTGGGAGAGGGGTAAGGCGCACTGAACTCCTCTGCACCCTGCCTGCAACCCTTCCTGCTTGGCTTGCATTGTGGTACTGCTGTACTAAGAGCGTGTTCCCACCAGCCTCTTCCCAAGCAACCTCTTCCCAGACTCGCGTGCTACAGTCTCGCAAATTTTGACGCGAAATGTTTCAGTGCGATTCCGCAAAGTGCGAAGTGAGATTCGGCTTCCCGAGATTCAGGGGCGTGTTTTAAAACCTCTTTTCAGACGAGCAGATTTTCCGACAAGCGCGAATCTGCACAGTAAATTTTCGACTCCAGCAGGTTTTATGTGGTTGAGAGCGATGGAACACAAATATGAAACGGGAGTATTCCGAAAAGTAGTCCTGGGAGCACGCTCTCAAGCTCGCGCGTGAGTCTGAGAAGAGATTGCCTGGGAAGAGGCTCGTAGGAACATGCTCTAAGCCAAAGGCAATCCAGAAGGTGGGTCAGAGAAAACAATGCAGTGGACAGGTGCAACGCGTCCAACGTCTGTAAACCCTAATACGAGGACCATACTACCGTAAACGCCCGGATATAGGACCCTAGGGTCTTTTTTCGTATACTAAAAAAAAATGGGGGTGAGTCTATTAAGGAAACGTGGAATTACAATACCTGGGATCCTTCTCGTTTTATAGGGGATTCATTTATTTAAAGCGTGTATCAGACCCCGTTTCGAAATGCGTCCATGCTATCGTAGATGTTGATAGTGAAGTATGTTAACGTAGAAACGAATGATTACTAGAGGTGGAAACCTAGAACAAATACTAGTTGGTTGTACTCACTAGAAGCATACCTCAGTCTAGCCTATAACTTCTACATAGATAATATGTATAAGTTGACACACCCCCTAGGCTAGACAAGGGGTGAAACTAAACAAGAAGCAAACAGCTCAGGGCGGCACTACTAGTCCAACCACTGAGGCAGGGGTCTGGAGACCAGTCAGCAAGAATACAACCAAAACTGAAGCAAGCCAGGGTGGCACTACTAGTCCAGCCACTGGAGGTAAGGCCACAAGGCCAGTCTGACAAGCATATATAATAGAGAGTACACAATCAGGATCCTAACAGGGGAGCAGCTACAGGAACAAGACCAAGCTGTACACAGTGCCGCTGATGATCTTTAGGCGCAAGCGCCTTAGTAAAGATATCAGCTGTGTTGGCACCTGAGGCCAAGTGAACTACGCGGGCCTGGCGGCGCTGCTGTAGCTCGCGCAGGAGGAAGTACCGCAGCTGGATATGCTTCGCTCTGCCCTCAAGCCGAGGCTCCTGACACAGGAGTATCATGGCCCTGTTGTCAGCGTACAGGACCGGGGCAGAGCTAGGCCGCTCACCTAAGTCTATGAGCAAGAAGGTCAGCCAGCGGAGCTCCTGTGCCGCCATGGCATCAGCGTAGATCTCAGCCTCACAGCTAGACTGAGCCACAGACGACGAGCGAGTGGATCTCCAAGAGATAGCACCCGAACCAAGGCTGAAACAGTAGCCCTGCGACGACCTGAGCGTCTCAGCGTCGTCTGCCCAAGAAGCGTCTGTGTGCCCAGTAAGGACCACTGGCCTGCGTCCTCCTAGCACTAACCCCATGCCTGATGTACTAGCAAGATAACGCAAAACCCTCTTAGCGGCAGACCAGTGCTGAGGTCGGTGTCTACCTGTAGCCACAAAGCAAGCCAGGATGCTGAGAGGGTATGCGAGATCTGGGCGAGTGCAAGTCATCAGGTACATGAGGCAACCCACCAGCTCTGCGTAGGGGCCACTGGGCTCTACTGGCTCCTCAGGAACGGGAGCAGAGAGCCCATGGTCTACGGGTAGAGGTGTGGGCTGTGCAGAGGAGAACTGAAGACCGAACCTCTGAAGGACCTGACGCACCAAGTGTGACTGGGTCAGAGTGATGGTGCGTGCTGCTCTGTCCCTAGAGATCTGCAGGCCAAGATAGCGACGCAGCTCTCCAAGGTCAGTGCAGGTGTGTCTCTTCAGCAGCTCAGCCTTCACAGAGGCCAGTGCGTCCCTGTCAGGAGTAGCGAAGACCAGGTCGTCTACGTAGACAAGGATGTAGAACGGAGTCTGGCCGGAACGCACAAACAGTGAAGGGTCAGCAGAGGACGGAAAGAACTGCAGGTCTGCTAACGTGGCACGTAGCGTGTCGTGCCACTCGCGGGGAGCCTGACGCAGGCCGTAGACCGGGCGCCTGAGAAGCCACTGGGTCCCAGGAGGGAAGGTACCAGTGAAGCCCTGTGGTCGGCGCAGGTAGACCTGCTCGTGTAGGCTGCCCTGAAGAAAGGCAGTAGAGAAGTCGAGGGAGTGAAGCTCGTAGTCACGCTGTGCTGCTACGTGTAGCAGCGCCCGAAGAGTGGTCATCTTCGGGGTCGGGGCGAAGGTCTGGAAGAAGTCCACCCCCTCGCGCTGACTGAAACCTCTGGCCACGTAGCGCGCCTTGAAGACAGGCGGCTCTCCAGGGGGGCGCTTCACCTTGAAGAGCCACCGACCATCGACTACGTTCACCCCAGGCGGGGGAACTGCGTCGACGTAAGTGCCGGTGGATCTCCAAGATGCCATCTCCTGCTCCATGGCAGCTATCCACTGAGAGGCCCAAGGTCCCGAGGTGGCCTCAGCGTAGGTGCGAGGGGTCGGGATGTCGAAGGCGTCTGGGTCACCCTCAGGGACTAACAGCATGGAGCAGAGATGGGGAGCAGCCTCGGAAAGGAAAGCCAGCTCGTACTGCCTGTCCTCTAGGACGTCACTGCCAAGGGCAGGAGCACCCCCGACGGACGGAGGACGGGCAGGGTCAGAGACCAGAGCGGTAGCGTAGTCAAGGCGGCGGGTAGAAGCGAAGTCAGCGACAGCAGCGACAAGCGCGTCAAGGCGCGAGACAGGAACAGTAGGGTCGGTAACAAGAGAGGCAAGGACCCGAGGGACAAGGGGACGAGCAGAACGGAGGTAGTCAGAGAACGGAGGAGGTGCAACAGCAAGGGACGAGGGAGGAGGGGACGGGAGGAGGGGAGGACGAGACGAGTGGGAACGGAGCAACATAGGGTGGGTGGGCAGGACAGGAGAGACGGGACGAGCACGGGAGGGACGGCGAGCCCAAACGTGAGACGGAGGGGTAGGGTCAGGGGACAGCGGAGGAGACACAGGAGGGGAACGAGGAGGAAGACGGGCCGGAGACGAGTCTGGCGGCGGGAACACAGGACCGTAGACAGGAAGGTCAGGAGGCGGTGGGGGAGACACCGGCGCGCGGTCCGGGGAGGGAAGGCCGAGCAGGCGGAGAGCGGAAACCGGCGGCGACGGCTGCTGCGGCGGCGACGACGGCTGGGCCGGAACTCTCGGACCAGCAGAGGCAGAACGACCGTCGGCAGAACACTCAACAGCAGCACCCCCAGAACCAACACCCCCAGAGCGAGAACCCCCTCCAACACCAGCGGCACCCCCAGAAGCCGCAGGACGAACACCCTCCTCCACACCAGCACCCCCAGGGGCCGAGAGCAGCGGCGGCAGTGGCGGCAACGGCTGCGGCGGCGGCGACAGCGGCGACGGCTGCGGCAGCGACAGCGGCGGCGGCGGCGACGACAGCGGCGACGGCTGCGGCGGCGACGGCGACGGCGGCGGCAGCGGGGTCGGCGACTGCGACAGTGGGGGCGGAGGCACCGGGGAAGGGGGACGCGGCAAGGACGGACCGGGGGTACCACCAGAGTCAGCAGACTCCTCAACGGGGACAACCGACGGGAGGGGAGTGACGTGGGAGACACCAGACGGGGCAGGACGAGGCGGGAGAGGGGCAGGGGCTACCGGGGGAGAGGGAGCAAGGAAAAGGGGGGGGGCAACTGGGAGACCTCGGTGAGGGAAGCAGCGGTAGAAGGAGACGGACTCGTCAAAGGTGACGTCACGAGAGTGGAGGAAGCGGTGAGACGGCGGGTGGTAGAAAAGCCAGTCAGACGAGTCCAGGGGGAAACCGAGGAAGACACAGGGGACAGTGCGGGCAGTGAGCTTGTCCGTGCCAGAGGCACGAACGTGAGCAAGGCAGCCCCAGACGTGGAACGCAGACGCGTCACCGGGGGACCCGGTCCAAAGGAGGGTCGGCGAAACCTGCGGCCGCTGGGAGCGTGGCCACAGGTTAAGCTGGTGAGCCGCGTAGCGAACAGCGAACGGCCACAGAAAATGGGGGGCATCGGCATGGATCATGGAGGTACGGGCGACCTCCATGACCAAGCCGATGCGGCGCTCAGCAACCCCATTCTGCTGTGGCGAGTCCGGCAACGTGTACGACTGGGTGATGCCCTCCGCACGACAGAACTGTCCAAGCCGACCAGAGGCGAACTCGCCGCCACGGTCGGAGTGGAGACACAACACGGGGAGACCGCGGTGGAGACGCGCAGCCACAACCCACGGGAGAAGAACGTCGGGCACGTCGGCCTTCCGCTCCAGGGGAAACACCGTGGTGTAGCGCGTGTAGTCGTCGACGAGCACAAGGAAGTAGCGCTCACCGCGCGGTCCGGGGACGGGGGCAGGGCCCCAAACGTCCAAGTGCAGGGTCTGAAGGGGGGCAGTAGCAGGACGCAGCGAGGAGGAGTGAGGAGCACGGCGGAGCCGACCCTCGACGCAAGGCGTGCACGGTGGCGCAGTCGAGGGAGGAAGGGCAGGGAGCGACGTGGGGAGACCTAAGACAAGACCGTGCTGGGACATGTGACGCAGACGCGGGAGAGCAGGGTGACCTAAGCGGTGGTGCCAGAGAAGGGAGGGGTGAGTGAGGGACCGACACGAGCAAGCTGCAGCGACCTGGGAGGACGCACCAACCGGGGGGGAAGCGGTGTCTAGGGTAAACAGACCGGACACCGGGTCCCGGGGGAACGTCGCAAGGGGGGAACCTGAGACAGCCTCAGAACAGACAGCGAACCGCTCGTGCCCGGGGAACGTGGTGGTGACGCCGAGGTCCTGGAGACAGCCGACACCAACCAGGTTCCTGGAGAACGA